ATTGCAATTTTACTGTGAAACAATAAAAAAACTTCAGGAGGACTTTTGTTTTGTAAATCGCCCTTTTATTAAAAATGTGGACATTTTTTTAGATTGTAGTATAAAAACAAATTTAATGTCTAATAGATACCTAATAAAAAAACAATACCCACCAAATTTCAATAACATTCTTTAGTTTATGAGAAAATATAAAAAATATATACAGGGTGTTTCATAATATATGCGCAGGACTTCAGGATGTGATAGGTCATCCAAAAAGATGAAAAAAAGTCGCTATTAAGTTACGCTCTAAAATGCACAATTTTCGAGATACAGGGTGTTGAAATTTTAGAAAAAAATTCGTTTTTTTCGAATATCTCCGGAACCATTTATCGTACAAAAAACAGCTTTTGTAAGCATTTTATACTCAAAATAAGCTATGTTTTGTGCTAGAAAAAATTTTTTTTTCCTCATAATTGATGGAGATTTTGAAGGGGTAGCGGGTGTTTTTCTCCTCAACTTCTACGCCCCTGAAAAAAGTACGGTTTTGAGATGCCCATTCGAACCGCCAATGTTTTCTACATAAAAAAGGTACTGGTCATAAGCTCTAAAGTTGACCGTTTTCGAGAAAAATCAACTTTTATAAATAAATATATATTTTTTTACTAATTAAACAAAATTTATTTTAACGTTAGGACAAGTAACAAAACCAAACCATAATTGCAAAATAAAAAATGATTTAAAAGTTGTCTTTGCTTAATTCTCCAAACCGTAAAGGTAACGCATTTCGCACATTTCAGCATTTGAGTAAAAAATCATTTTTTTTTTTTTTTTAATTTTGCAATTATCGTTTGGTTTTGTTACTTTTTCTAACGTTAAAATAAATTTTGTTTAATTAGTAATAACAATTTTTTTTCAAAAAATTGACCATGTTTTTAAACATAAAAGTTGATTTTTCTCGAAAACGGTCAACTTTAGAGCTTATGACCAAGAGTACCTTTTTTCTGTAGAAAACATTGGCGGTTCGAATGGACATCTTAAAACCGTACTTTTTTCAGGGGTGTTGAAGTTGAGGAGAAAAACACCCGCTACCCCTTCAAAATCTCCACCAATTATGAGTAAAACAATTTTTTTTCTGGCACAAAACATAGCTTATTATGAGTAGAAAATGCTTACAAAAGCTGTTTTTTGTACGATAAACGGTTCCAGAGATAATCTAAAAAAACGATTTTTTTTCTAAAATTTCAACACCCTGTATCTCGAAAATTGTGCATTTTAGAGGGTAAGTTAATAGCGACTTTTTTCATCTTTTTGGATGAGCTATCACATCCTGAAGTCCTGCGCATATATTATGAAACACCCTGTATATGCAACTTCAACATATAATAATTACCTATTATTAAGAAAATTTTATTTTAAAATTTTCTATTAATTTTTAAAATATTAATGTTTTTTTTAACCACACTATACATTTTAAGTAAACATTTTTTAAACTGTTATATCTACACTGCCCGTCAAAATTAACGCATAATAAGTAAAAAAATTCTAACTCTAAAACGCCTTTACCAATCTTTATGAAATTTTGTATAAGAATACTTCAACTTATATCTCAGTTTAAGTGTTCGAGGGTTTATCGAGAAAATATTTTTAAAGCCCTTTTATTTCATAATAAAAAAACGTTTGAAAAATAACTTTGCTGTTAAAGACCGTATTTTTGTTAGTATACCCTGAAAATTTTGTACAAATTAAACGAACACTAACGAAGATAAAGCGCTTAAAAATGACCCCTTTTTGATTATTTTGTCGACTTTGAAGCGCCGTATTTTCGTTACTGTTCGTTTGATTTGTACAGCATTTTCAGGGTATACTTATAAAAATACGGTATTTCACAGCATATTGTTTATTTATTCTACTTAAAAAAATTCCCTATAAAAGTTTTTTTTCGAGCGTTTTTTATTATTAAATAAAAGTGCTTTAAGGATATTTTTTCGAAAAACCCGTAAACTGAGATATAAGTTAAAGTATTTCTATCCAAAATTTTATAAAGATTGGTAAAGGCATTTTAGAGTTTGAATTTCTTTACTTATTATGCGTTAATTTTGACGCGTCAATTGGACACAAATAGTCACGGTTTCGTCACGTTGTAGCTTAAGTTGAAATTCCTAAAATAGTTATATCAAGCTTAAATTGTCATTCTCAAATGAGTTTTATTGAAGGTTAAAATGACATTCTTCAAATGTACTAAACAGGGTGGGAAAATAAAAAGTTCCTCGCCGGTTTTCTCAGGTTTAAGGAAAAAAAACCTATCGATTTCTGATTTACTTTATTTTTAACCCCTCATCTTTAACTCCTAATGGGTCGAGTGATAATTCTTTTTGAAGGTATAACTCCCCAGGTAGCACACTGACGTCTACTGGCGTTTATATGACGTTGAAATGACGTTGCTAAACGTCAGAAGACGTCATATAAACGTCAGCAAACGTCAGCGTGCTACCTGGGACGATAATTTTTGAAATTTTTGCCCTGATTAACCCTTTAAGTTTGAAGTCGCTGCTATCATCCCCTTTGATGTAACAGCTTGTTAAAATCTTGGAAATAGTCAATTGTTTAAGTATGAGTAAAAGCGATACTTTTGTGAAAAGGCCAACTCCCCTTTTCTATTCAAATTTTGAAGGTAACTGTCACCCACGATTAGGGGTTGAAAATATAAAAATAAATTGTCCCCCTCAAATCAGAAATAGACGGATTTCACCGTTTTTTTTCGTAACACCTGAGAAAACCGTTATAGAAATAGTTATAATAGTTCTAACTATTATAGAAATGGTTATAACTTTTAATTCATACGGCGTTTTATTATTAATTGCCAATATTGTTATTAAAAGGTTAACTACGAGTTGTGTTCAGAAAATATCGGGAATTTTCGTTTTTTAAAACAAATATTTATTTATTCGTCTACATTAATGTTGTCGCCTTTAAAATAGTCCCCATTGGATATTATGCACATGTGCCAGCTCTTCTTCCAATACTCGAAACACTTCTAAAACTCGATCTTTGGGATAGTCTTTAGTTCTTTCAGCGATGCGCTTTTAATGTCATCTATGCTTGCAAAACGACGGCCCTTTAAGGTTCTCTTTATTTTTGGGAATAGGAAAAAGTCAGACTGAGGCATGTCTGGCGAATATGGAGGCTGGGGCATCATTACAGTATTGTTTTTGGCCAAAAATTTTGTTCAAAATTTAACAATTTTTGAACAAATTTTGCTGCAACGCGTTTCATAACCAAAACATTCGAAAAAATTTCAAGGGATGAGCCAATCGATATACCAACATCATCAGCGACTTCTCTGATGGTTTATATCCATTTCTTCCACTTTTTCCATGTTTTTATCGGTTGTTAATGTGCTTGTGCGTTCGGGGCGTTCGTCATCTTCAACGTCTTCACGGCCATCTTGGAAACTCTTATACCACTTGTAAACTCTTGTTTTACTTATAACAGACTCACTACAGGCCTTTGTTAACATTTCACAGAATTTATTTCATAAAACACGTCTAACCTTAGCGGCTGCCACAGACAAAGTAAACAATGAAAACAGCTAAAGTTTGTATCATACTTCGGGGGCATATATACCAACATAATAAAGAAAATTTTATGACAACCGGACCCTCTGAACCTCGTATATGAACATATACCTAAACCTTTTCTAGGTTTAAAAATGATATTTAGTGAGTTTTTCTATGTTGTGTTTGTAGAACTTGTTAACAATTTAGTATACTAAATTGAGGAGCATCCGTGCAAAACCGGCTAAATCCATTTTATTCAGTTTTTGTTTTTTTTTTTGATTTCGCATCTTTGGGTTCATTTCTATCGACAACCAAGATAATTCCGTTTAAATCCAACTAAATCCATGTTAAAATCACATTTAAAAGGTAGCTTAAGGAGCAAAACCGGCCAAATCCACGTTTTTTTAGCAAACCCGGCTATATCCAATAAATAATAATATGTGGCTTGGATATGTCGATACTACTACTAAAATTTGTTCTATTTTTTCATGTTTGCACTAAATTTTTTTTGTAATGTTTTTGAATAATAAAGGTTTTTTTTTCACATTTTATTCGTTTTTTATTCGGTTTTCGAGCAAAACCGGATATATACAAAACATTTTTTGAAATTTTGGCCTTAATATAAAGTTTTTCAAAACGAAAGTATGTCTTATAAATCAAGTACCACAAAGCCCACTAAACTCAAGTTTGCTTTTTCTTTTATCTGTAAAGGCCAGGAAACCGAGAGTTTTTGCCATTTTCCCAACATTTTATTAAAGTTGATATAGCCGGTTTTGCACGGATGCTCCTCAATTAATTGAGGAGCATCCAACAATTGTTAACAGGTTCTACATAAGCCTATAGGCCTTATTTAAATTGTTTCTATAATAACTGCAATTACCATGGTAATGGTTAGATGATTATTTCAGCTGATGAGACAGCGTTGTTTTCACACTGACATGCCTAAAAAATTGAAAACTACCTGTAAAAAAATGTATTTCCCATTAACACATTAACACAAAAATATTGTGTTGGTGTTGTAAATTCAGCATTTCAAAAAACAAACAAAACATTGCATGTTTTTTTTTTTAATTTTAATTATGTTATATTTTACTAATTGACAGTATATGTATATGAGGTATATGATAATTTATCAACTAAAAGTCAAATAGTAGGGATTATTATTATGCAATAACATTAAAAATTTACTTATCTAATGTTTATCTGAATTGTTTACTTTTAATAACAACACGGCCCCCTTCCATCCACTTTATTCTTATATTATAAAGGATATAAGCGGGCTTTTTCTAATACTCTCACAACAGTGATAAGAAGTAAACAGTATTTCAAGTAACTCGTGCAATCTAATTTTATCACTTAAATTTGGGTTGTCGCCAGCAAATGAACAGTTTGTTTTGGTTTCTTATGTTAGTAGAAAAGTTTACCTGATAATAAAACACTTTTTTTAAACGCAATTTCAACATGAGCGAATTCCAGTGGGAACATTTGAATAAACTTAACGATACAGTGACCTCTGTGCTAATTAATTTGTCTCAAAAAGATGCGGTTAGCGAAATCTTTTTCGAAAAGGAACTTGTGCAATTTTTGAAGGGGTTGGGACGTATGTTCTATATTGTTAATCCGACAGAAACAACTTTTGAAGGACCAGAAGAAGTTCCAAAATATTTTAGAAATGTAAGTTTTAAATTTTGTCTACTTTTTGAGCTTGTTTAACAAGTACCATAGAAAAATAATATTAATTTTATACTGGGGAATATAAAAAAGGCACTAGAAGTTTTGGTTTATAGTTATGTTCAAAACTTAAAAACTTTTAAGATATATAAAAGTTTTTAATTAAAAGGTAAGTTTTATTATATTTTAAATCATATTTTTACTGAAGTAAAAGTAATTAATTTAAATTTAGTTGTAACTCGTATAGGAACCTAATGAATTTTGCAATTTTTATTCATGAGCTAAAATCACGTTGCATCTAAATAAAACAATATAAAAATTAAGCAATTGCATTAAATTAAAATTATTTAAATACATGCACTTTAGGCATTTTAAGAGGATCCGATATTATACAGGGTGCAAGTAGGAAATATCCTTTTATGTTTATACTTCTATGGTCATTTTTTTATTTGAAGAGCTACTCTCTTAAAATTAAATAGTCAAAATTCTACGATTTAAATAAGAACCAGCATTTTTACTAATAAAATAGTCTTTTCATTTTTAACCTCTTAAATAGTTCTTAGAGTAAAAACTAAAAAGTAACTAATTTTTTTAATCGCTTTTAATTCTGGCGCCCAACAACAAATTATTTTTAAACTTAAATGCATGTAGGCACCATGGTTAAATGGCCCAAAAAAAACAAACAAAGATGCATAATGTTTAGCTCAGAACAGCAAAAGTGAAGAAATACTCTCTGAAAATGAATTAGTCAAAAATGACTGGTTACTACAGTTATTAGTGGCTGCTTTTTCACTTATACCATGGTTAACCATGGTATACCATGGTATCCCCAATATTAAACAGCCAATTCTTATGTAAAATTGTCCCCTGAATCCGAAAATTATTATATGGAAAATTTACCATACCTATCTTAAAAACTGTTCTACTTTTCTAACTTTTGACGTTTTTGACATTTCGTATTCAGGGGAAAATTTTACATGGGAATTGACTGCTAAATTTTAAGAGAGTTAAATATCGGTTAAATTAAAAAAAGTTGCATAATTACAAGCCTATAAAAATGAAATTTATAAATTAAAAAAAAGTCAGCGGTTCTTAAAATATAAAAAAATTAAAACCTTTCTAAACCTATTTGAAACAAAGTTAATTTTAGATGTTAACATACAAATTAATTTACATTTTCATCCAATTTCTTGTTTTTTAAGTTACCATCACCATATTTTGTTATTGAAATGGCCGCCATATATTAGGGTGTGCCAAAAAAACTCGATATTTTTTTCTTGCTCTCCACCCAAAATATCGTAGAATATGTCCGAAGAAATATCCTGTTAAAAGCGGAGCTCATAATTTCAATTTTAAGAGGTCCTTCATCGAATCTGAAGTTTTGCCGCTTAAATAGTACAGAAAACTGACTTTTTTACCTTATTTATTCTTGCAACCTAGGAAGAAATTTTTTTTTCATAAAATCCATGACCAAATCTTACAAAGCATTAAATTTGGACGAAAAAATCTTATTAAGCCGAATTTCTATTTTCATTATTTGATTTTTTAAATTTAAAATTTACGTTTTTTGCCTTTTTCAGCTAAACTACGTATTGAAGTTAGACGAAAAAGGCAATTTTTTAGCTTGACCACAAAAAAGTTTTAGGCGATTTTTTTTATCGTCAATACCTATTCTAAAAGTTACAGGCGTATAAAGTCATAATTTTTGTAATATTAACTTTTTGTTAGTGAAATATTAATGTTAGCACAAAAAGTCAATAGAGAATTATAAAAAAAAATTTTTTGTCTAAATTTAATGCTTTGTAAGAATTAGTCATGGATTTTATGAAAAAAAAATCTTCCTATAGGTTGCAAGAATAAATAAGGTAAAAAAGTCAGTTTTCTGTGTTATTTAAGCGGCAAAACTTCAGATTCGATGAAGGACCTCTTAAAATTGAAATTATGAGCTCCGCTTTTAACAGAATATTTGTTCGAACATATTCTACGATATTTTGGGTGGAGAGCAAGAAAAAAAAATATCGAGTTTTTTGGCACACCCTAGTATATATACATATAATATATATTATGTATGTATGTATGTATGTGTATACATGTATGTATGTATGTATCTATGTATGTATCTATGTATGTATGGTATGTATGTAGGTATAATCGTTGGATTCTTTGTTTGTTTTGATATCTAACCATGTAATCTTCCAATATGGAGTCCGTAGGAAAAACAAAATATGGTAGTGGTATTTCAAAATCTAGTACTCACGGTGTGCCTGAACGAAGTTTAAGTCACATAAAAATGCCGCCAAAAACTGATTGCAGTTTCTTGTTCGGGACCCTTTGGTGACTTAAAAATGATATTTACCAAAATCCTAGCTGCTCCTCTTTTCGAAATTTTTTGAAAATTCATGATTTTTTTTTAATTTTTGTTTATTTCAAAGTCTACCTTTGACAGAGTACACATTTGTACACCGATTTTTATAAAATTAGAGTATATTGTTGAGGAGACTTAAAGAATACTTTTTAATACTGTTCACATCATTTGATATATTAAGGGTGAGCCAAAAATCGCTTATTTTTAATAAAGCAAAAGCGTAAATTCATGATTTTGGCATAACACGCAAAAAAGATTTATCCCCATTTTTTTAGATATTTCTACATTTATCAGGTTAAAAAATGACATTCTTAATAACCTTTTTAAAAAAAATAGATTTTTAATAAAATTAAATAAAATACCGCTTAGAGAATATTTAAAATGTTGTTTAATTTAGGCTTTTTAGTAGTTTTCAATTTTGAACGAAAAACTGGTTAAAGTGTTTTGATCGGCACTCTTTGGAGATTTAAAAACGATATTTACCAAAATTCTTACTGCTTTTTTTAAATTTGTTAAAAAAATCATTTTTTTGTTAATTATTTGTTTATCGCAAAGTCTACCTTTGCCAGAGTACACATTTGTATACCGATTTTTATAATATTGGAGTATATTGTTAACGAGACTTGGATAATACTGTTTTCATACTAAGCACATCATTAGATTTATACAGGGTTAGCCAAAAATAACTTTTTTATATAGTAAAAAGCATAATGCACAAAAAAGATTTATCTCCAAAAAAATTTATTTTATTTAATTTTATTCAAAATCAATTTTTCTTATAAAGTCTTAATAAGAATCCCATTTTGTAGCCTAATAAACATAAAAATATCTAAAAAAACATGGGTGGGTATATATCTTTTTTGCGTGTTATGCCAAAATCATGAAGTTACGCTTTTGCTTTATTAAAAGAAGCGATTTTTGGCTAACCCTATATATGTTAAATGATGTGCACAGAATAAAAAAGTATTCTCCAAATCTCCTCAACAATATACTACAATATTATAAAAGTCGGTGTACAAATGTGTACTCTGTCAAAGGTAGACTTTTAGATGAACCAAAAATTTAAAAAAAAACCATGAATTTTCAAAAAATTTCGAAAAGAGGGGCAGCTAGGATTTTGGTAAATATCATTTTTAAGTCACCAAAGGGTCCCGAACAAGAAGCTGCTATCAGTTTTTGGCGGCATTTTTATGTAACTTAAACTTCGTTCAGGCACACCACGGTGCACCGTGTTCTAATACTATTGGCGAAAAAAATTACAAATTAGATAAAATGTAAATGTTTACATGTAAAACTTATTTTTTTTTTAATTCCCAGAAATAACGCCCTTGTAGATCTTTAAATAAAAAAGATACCTATACATAGAAGGATACTTGGTGCACCCTGTATTAGTACAGGTTAATTTAGGTAGGCATATAGTATGTAAATCATAATTGGATATTTTTAATGATTAAATAATAATAATTGTGTTAATAATTATTAATTTAAAATTTAAATTAAACAAATAAATTATAACATTCTTGCAAACTAATCAAATGTTAATTATATGCAAATAAAAAAATGGAAAGAACTTTGATCTTAACATCTTATGTTGTGTCGTATCACAAACCTCAGACCCCGCCTGCCTACGTCACATAACACATAAAAATATTCCTGAAGGCAACTTGCTCCAGATAAAAACAATCCGTTTTTTTAATTAAAAAAACTATTTTATTTCTTAATTTTTTTTACAGGCATGGCCCTATTTTATTTTATTTATGATTTTGGAAAATGTATTATTATGGATAGAGAAAAAACCAACGTTTAGAATAAATGATGGAATAACCAGTATGTCACATGGATTAATTCAAGAAAGTGGAAGGTATTTTTTTTAATTTGGAACATCTTTTTTATATTGAGATTGGATAGTCAGTTAATTTTTATAAATATATAATAGCGAATAAGTAGGAACAAATATAATAAGAATATTACAACGTATTTTCTTTATTTAAGGCTTATTTTTCGCGGAGCAGAAAGTTACGTTTACTTGTACATCCACGAGCATTTTTGTGTATATCAATTACCATGGGATCAACCTCTGACCTGGTATCTGGCAGCTATCGGTGTTGATTTTTGCTATTATTGGGTTCATAGAGCATGTCATGGTATGTTAACATATTTTTTTAAATTAATAATAGACTTTATGAAGTGCCTTTTTTTTAGAAGTCCACATCCTTTGGGCCCAACATCAAGTCCATCACAGCTCAGAGGAATTCAATTTAGCTGTTGGATTAAGACAGTCTATTGTACAAGGATGGTGTGGATTTGTAAGTTAATTTTTCTAGGTATACGAAATGTAAATGTTTTTTAAAAGATAAAAAAAATCCTTTAAATAATATTATGTATTGTATATTGTATTTTATGTTAGATAAGTATACATTTGTTTTATTTTTAGGCTTTTTATCTTCCATTGGCCTTTTTTATACCACCATCACATTTTATAACACACCAACAATTTAATTTGTTGTTTCAATTTTGGATTCACACCAAAACGGTCACTACACTTGGCCCTTTGGAATATTTTTTTAACACGCCTCAACATCACAGGGTTCATCATGGTAAATATATTATTAAATTATTTTTAAGCACAAACTATATACTATATATATGCATGAGATTAGAATTTTACGAGAAATTCGTGAATAAAATGTTTATTATGACCATGGTCATAATAAACATTTTATTCGCGAATTTCTTGTAAAATTCTAATAAGATTGTGTCTTCATATTAATTTTCAACATTAAGCCAGATATCTACTACTAAATCACTATGTAGTTATTAATCAGTTACCTAGGGGATGGAATTGATTGTCTTATAGAAAAGTGCTATTATACATTTCGCTCAATTTAAAGAATATTAAAATCGGTAATCATCTTAGAATTTTCAAAGGAATTCGTAGTTTTTTCAATGACCGAATGGACAGAACTATAAGAATAATCCAATAAAATGTATTATGTTAAACTTTGCTACCAATCCACACAGACACCAGACTAATTACTTAAACTAAAATTCAAAGATCCAAAAATGCTTTTAAAATGTAAATTAAAATTTTTTGATATATATAATACTATAGTATTATAATGCTTTGTTTTGATATAATTTGTAAACTACTGCCTCCATGTCTTAAATATTCTTATTGAATTAAAATCTCAAAATTAAAAGCAGCATTTTATTTATACAATATACATATACATATACATACATACATATACATACATGTACATACATATACATATATATATGTTTTAATTTGCTAAATAATATATTTCAGTTTTTTATTAAAATAACATTAAAATTTCAATAAAAAATAGATTTTCGTCTATTAATAATAGAAAAAGTTTATTTATATTTATTGATGTGGCTTGGTTTAAAAACCGAAGTAAATATAACAATAAAATATACTATAGTACTATATAGTTTTTAGAAAAAAAAACAAGACACACTAAAATGTATTTTTAACTTTTATATTTATTAACTTACTTAAATTCACAATGTTTAAAAGTAATTTATTTAGTTAGAAAAAATAAATATTATTAAATATACTATATTATATTATATTATGTATTTTTAACGTGATTCATTTAGTGGTAAATTGTTTTTCTGTCAGAAGTGTTTAAAAATTAATAAATAATTAACAACTAATTGATATTATTTATCAAAAGAAGAGATTTAACGGTTCGGAGAAAAACGTAAAAAATTAAAAAATAATTAAATCAAAACCGGAAACCTGAAAATATATTAATATAATGTGATATATAAATGAAAATTAAATAAATATATGTTTGACAGGTGACAGATGTCAAGTTAACAGATGAAAGATGAAACTCTGAAATATGCCTATTTTTGGCCCAGGCAATATCATTTTCTTTTGGCATGCATTTTTTAAATTTTTATTATTTGGTACAGTACTTTTGAGTTTTTCAAAAACTACGTATTTGTTAATTTTTTGTAAACTCATAATAAAGATTATATCACATAATTTGTTTGTATATACTTCTTTTTAGTATTACTTTTATATTTAATTTTTCCATTAAACATAAATCAGCATGGTAGATGTTAAATCAAAAAATGATATGCTGAAAATTCTTTATTTTGTAGTTATCGAGTTTTAAAAAAACTGTCCTCAATTTTGGGTCACCCTGTATATCAATACATTCTTACAACTATAATAATAATAATAATAATTAGGACTGGGCTGTTTTTTACTAGGAAGAAACTAAAATTTTTATTTTATTTTAGGTAGTAACATTTACTGTTTGGATAAAAACTATGGCGGTGTTTTAATAATCTGGGACCGAATTTTCGGCACGTTTGCAAGGGAACGAAAAGATGAAGAAATTATTTATGGACTGGTATTTAACCAGCCATCGTTTAATCCTTTGCATTTGCAGGTAAAATATTGCAAAAAAATTATATATGTTTGTTAAATTGGATCTGAATTTTTTTACAGACATTTTTATACCGCTTATGTGATCGAAAAATTCAATTCCTTGACTTGTTGGTCTGAAAAAATGGCAGCTATATTCTATGGTCCTAGTTGGCAGCCTGGAAAACCTAGGTTGGGTTTGGAATGTGACAAAATAAAGGTAGGTATTTTTTATAATTAAACTAATTAAGAATGCCGATGATACTCAAAATATTAGCTCTAATTTAATTATAATTATATAGAAATAAAAGGATTATTAAAACTTTTTATATTTTTAGGTTGTCGCAAGGGAAAAATATGATGTTAAACTTCCATTGTGGTGCAATTGTTATCTCTTTCTCCATTTCTGTGTTGTGGTTTATGGTTTTCAAGAACTTGCTTCAATACACATGGTAAAAATATTATTAACCTTCTTCTCGTAAAAATATTCCTATAGGAACTTTTAGCTTTATTCCGTGCATCAAATTTAGCAATTTTAAACAAAATTTTAATATATACACCGAATTTGAATAAAAAAAGTTTATTTATTTATAATTATGATGCAGTCTTATTTTAAATAATTTTTTTTATCTCAGTGATAGCATAGCATACATATAATATATATATATATTATATATTTTTACAAAACTAAAAATAGGTAACAAAATATGCAATACGAAAGTTATGCAAACGTTTATTTTTATAATTTGATTTAAATTTACAAATAGTTTGCGAAAAAAATAGAAGATAGAAAATTCTGCGAAGTTTTCTTAATTTAACAGCATAAAATTACCATCCGCAAATTTGATTAGCAAACCAGATTACACTTTGAAAAATATTTGGTTGCCTAAATAGGATTTCGAATATAGCCATGTGACAGACTAGAGTTACAAGTACAAGTTGTACAGTATTTCCATATAATATGAAATTGACTATATCTCAAAAACTGCTCTACTTTAATAACTTTTGACGGTATTTTTGAATTCAGCGGACAATTGATGTGGACTGCAATTATTAGTGGCTACTTTTTTGCTATGAAAATTAGTAATTTTTGACTAATTTATTTTAAGAGGGTATTTTAAAAAAGTCCTGTTTACAGTAAACTGTTTAATTTGGAATGCACCCTGTAGGAAGCTTTTTACTGCCGTTTTTAATTAATTAGCATCTTCTTAGAAGCAATTTGGGTTATTTGTAAAGCGCTACACAAACAATAAATTTATCAATGTATCATCGTTGAATGTGGTGTTTACTCAAAAGTGTAATTTTTAATTTCAGGGCTTGAACGCATTCACAGTATTTGGTTTCGTCATATACATCATCGCGTCTTTAACAACAATCGGTATGATGTTCGACAATCATCCTCATGCGTGTGTCTTCGAACTATTGCGGTGTATGTTGATGGTAACAGCAATACAAAGAATGCCCCTATTTGGATCATTTGACAATGTTTTGCTTGGATTGGAAGTGTTTTTCGTTTTATCTGGACTGTTTTGGCTGTTGCAAAGCTTTAAAGTAATACAAATCTCATTGAAACCCAAGAGTGGTTAGGAATATCCCTAATTGTTTAACTGTGAGTATATTAATTTTGTGGGTATATTGTTAAAATAATATTTTGTGTATATTAGGGTGGTCGTTAAAATTAAATTTTTTGCGACGCCCCCTAAAAAGCTTCTTTTTGATGAAAAAACACTGGGACATTTTTTTTATTTTTTTTTTATTAAAAACAACACGTGCCTCAAGACGATCTAAGTTAATTTTTTGGTATAATTATGTATTTTTGGGAATTTTTTATGAAAAATAAAATTTTATTCGAGATATAAACAATTATAGAACCAAAATCAATAAAAAAACAATAGTTAATCGAAATAACAATAGACAAAAATTTAAATTCAAAATTTTTCCCAGTTGATTTGGTCTATTAAATAAAAAAAATTAAAGATATTCAAATTAATATTTTTATTTTAAAACTAAATTAGTACAAACGTAATTTTAATATCTAGATTTCTTCACTCCAAGGTGAAGTTATTTCATTGTTAATAATTTTTAAATCTCAAAAAAATTATTATTCCATATTTTCAGAAAAGACATGATTACTTATACCAAAAAAATAAATTTTTAACGACCACCCTAGTGTATATTAGTGATTATCAAAGACTGTTTTTATTGTAATTTGGTATTTATAATTATAATATTATGTATTAAAAATATTGTTTTTCTTTCCACTCTTATTTCAGAAGTATGTAAACACAAAATAAAATAAAAACTTTTAACCGGAATTTTGTCTAGAATAAAACTTTTTCCAGCCAACTTAAAAAAAAAAAATTGTGAATAGTTCTGTTTTTTGCACCTTTACCTACTATTTCTGTGGGTAAAAGGTAAAGGGGATAAGTCGCGACTCATCCCGAAATATGTTTTTTTGCATTAATCTGATCTTAATGCATTACACATATGCTGGCAAAACGGAATAAGTCTTATTTTAAAAATAAATATTTCTTAAAAATAGGACAAGCATACAAACTGAAGAATTGAGCCGAAGATTTACTCGAAGCCATTTTGGTTTACTGTTTGGCTTTGTTTTTTATTGTTTACTTTGTTTTGAGCTTTCACATGACTTTTGGACATTTTTTATCTTTGTTTTGGATGTTTTTAATTTAATTTAGGTACATATATATATATATATATATATATATATATATATATTCTACTCCTAATTTAGTTTAGATTAATTTTGGTTAGGGTTAGGTTTTTTTAGATTTAGATTAGGCTAGGGTTTTTCGTTCGTGAATAAGTTTTTTTATTATTAAACATTTTCTATTTTATTTAAACTATTCGAAACATTTAAATTATTCTAATAGTTTAAATATTTGATTTGAAATTTGAATCGAATATAACTATTTGAATTAATTCAAGTATCATTAATATTATTAATTTCAAATTCCATAAAATTATCTCATTCCCAATTCTTGACTAAAAATATAATGGCTTTTACAGCAAAACTTTTCGCATTTTAAAACTAGTTTTTTTAATATGGATAACCTAAATTCCTAAACTGTCATTCATAATCTTCCACTTTTGAACTGCACGTGCGCAAAAGGTAGAGAATAGCAAAAAAATATTTAAATTATAGGGAATAAGCGGTACATATGTGGTGAGTATATGGGGAATAAACACTGGTGGGGCCATCTCTGTGTTTATTATCTAACAACTTTTAGATCGATCCAACCTCACTTTCTTCCAATTAAATTAATTTTTAATAGTATTTTTATTATTATTTATATTTGCAATTGCATATTTCGCTCTCGTGAAACGGTCAAACTCGCCTTTGGCTCGTGTGACAAACTTTTCAAGCGAGCGGACCACCTTGTGATTTAACCCGAGCATACTAAATTTTTAGTTTTTTTTGGTAGCTAAAATTGGCGAATGCGCCGGGATTAATTTTTAAAATACAGGTTAAAATACAAAATTTTTATCTTAATGATAAATCAATTGATTTTAAGTTAATTTAAAAAAACCACACGAATAAAGTTTTATGACCTGTAAAATTAAAAATAAATAATTAAAACAATAAACAAGTCTCTGATTTCCCATGAAAAAAAATCGTAAATCATAACAAAAATCCAGTTTTTGTTTTAATTAAACCTGTCTTGTATGTAGTTCGTCATTTACAAGTTCGCGGAACTGTGATCCAGTGCAGAAATCAACATACCAAGTAACAATTACGACAACTATAATAATAAATTTTATATAAATTCTTCAGAAAACCAAACTGCGTGTGTCAAATCATTCATAAGTAAGATTAGGCTTTTCCTATTGTGCATAAAAATTATGAGGATTCCCGATAAATAAGTTTGGCGATATTGCTACAGACTACAGTTTGAGAGAGGTCAGCAAGCAGTTCGTTTAATGCCAAAGAATATGAAGGCTTTTTATTTTAGTTTTGTGGCTTTAATTGGTGTGGTTAACTCTCAATACAAAGGTAAGATTATTATATTTATATTTTTCATTAAGAATGCATTTTGTATAGTGTTTTGTTTAGAAAAACTTAAAAAAGTGTTCAATAAATTGTTGTTTTTATGTTATTATTGTTAACCTTAATTAGTAAGAAATATATTTCTTAAAATAATTTAAATAAACACAAGATACATAACAACAAATAAATAAGGAAAAACATTGATTAACCATTTAACAAGAATTCTTGCATGAAAACAGATAGTTAAAAAGTCATTTCATTGGTCATTTATACTTATTACATCAGATTTATAAAATCTTAAAAAATAACAAAACAAAAGCTTATAAAAATGATAAAACAAACATTTTTAACAATAATTATTCTGAAAGTATTAAAAACTACGAAATTGTATTTATTACACTATGATAGTTTTAGAAACTTTTTTTCCTAACATTGAGTACTCCAGCTTGGTTTAACTAATTTTGGGCCGCTGATTTCAAAAATGTCATTTGTTTTTCTCTAGGACGTCTAGGATTTAAAATAATTTCGTAATAAAATGCTCTGCTCAAAATGTAAGTTTTTTTTAGTATTTTAATTATTTACTAAATTATTTTGGCTTAAATTTATCTTGAATGTACTAAAGTAATTGAAATACGTCAAATCATATTTATCTTAACAATATGATATGATATAATTTTATGTAAAAAAACAACCATTATTTGACATTTTTTGTCGTTTATTTTAATTATTGAATTGAAAAGGCAACAAAGTAAACAAGTTTTGGTTTTTTTATTCAAATTAAGCCCACAAAATTTAATGCATTGCATAATTTTGCTTTTTTATACCTTAAATTTATTAAATCGTATCAAATATCAAGTTGAATTTAGTATTATTGTGCTTAATCCTTATCATTGTCGTACATATTTTGCTTCAAATTCCAGCAAATGTCTTCCAGCAATGAATTCAACTTCTTTCCGCTATACCCATATATATCTACCAATGCTCTAGATTTGCAGTTACTTGGTGAAATCGTTCTCCATGTTCATCAGTTCGGGAAATTTATCAGGATGGAAAAAAATAAAATTTATTTTAAATGACATATTAACGCTAATTCTTTACAAAACGGAGAGCATTTTTTCAATGAATTGGCGCCAATTTTGGGCCCGATATGAACCAAGAATATTGTCAATGACAGCTTTAATACTGCCATATGCGACAAGCTCGTCAACTTTGAGAGCATTTTTGAATGCTTGATCTTTCATTAAACGTATTATATAAGGCCCATTTAATATTCCTGCAAAATTAAAGTAGTACATAATATGTAATATATTATATCTCATACAATTTTGTAATGAAATATTGCGTTGGTTTTTCTTGGGCGTAAAGGTACCGCAACAAAAACAAAACAAATTTACAACGACGACATTAAGGTTTGTCTCCTTTCTCTTTCTCTGGCAGTTCCATTTCCTGTTTTTTTTTTTTTTGGTACTTAAAGTCACTTTCAAGTAAAAATACAATATAAAGATTAAATTTTAAATTTCAAAAATTAATAGATGCCCTTTAATGTGCTTCAACGATAAAGTAGATAAAGGCGCCTTTATACTTCAATTCGATATTAAATTTTGATAAGACTTAATAAATAAGATTAGAAATTGAATTTTTGGGTACTTTAGGCGTAATGTGAATAAAAAAATATCAAATAATAGTCGAAGAGTAATGTTTATACCAAAACCCATTTACTTGTTGCCTTTTTAATTTAATTAGTAGGTAATAAAAAACGACACAAAAATTTCAAAAAATTATACTTTTTAACCAAAAACATATTATAATTTTATTTTCTGCAGAAAAGTGCTTTATTTAATATCCATTATAATACATAATACTATACATAATACATTATTATACATAATACTACTACAGCTGTACTACTGTATACTAGTATAATGCTACAATTAAACAAAAAAAATTCTATTTGACATTTCGTCACCTGAGAATTATATTGTACTATCTGCAATTTTTTTTTAAATTGAGGTCAGTCTTGTTTTAAGTCTTAAAGATGCATATTTTTTTCTATCTATATATAATTAGAGTAGAAATTGTACAGTTTAAGCCCTCATATTTTTTTAATTTCCTGTTTTTTTTAAATAAACATTTTTTTAATATAATAACTTTTGACTTATAGTAAATCTGATCTTAAGCAAAAACATCGATTTAGATATAGATGGAAAAGTACAAATACAGTGTTAAACAAGTTTCCTCTAGCTACCCTTACTAACATTTTGTATACCACCTTGCGATACATAATTTTAAAATCCGATCCGATTTGTAAGTTAGAGCCAAAAAAGGTGTGATATAAATAAAATAAAGACTTTCATAAAAAAATTATTAGCTAAACAATAATAAGAACTGTTCTGAAACTCTTCGAACTTTTTGAAACTTTTCAGGAGTTATCTGCCTACATTCTTGAATTATTCTTCGTTTGAGTTCTTGAATGTTCTCAGATGGTGTTTTCTAGACTTGTGTTTTTTAATGACCCCAAAGAAATTCTTGTTCTACCAATCCATATCTCGGGAAACCTTTGGTTCAACCATTCTCTGACTGGTAAAGCTAGCTTATCTGCTAAAGTATACCTACACCATTATTTTAATATTATGTAGGTAGTTTGATACATCAACCACTGAAACGTGTAAAACAACTCTGCTAAAGGTAAATTAAAACGAAGCAAATAAAACCGCTTTTTATATATAATTTTTTTAAGGAATTTTAATTTTTTTAACTTTAATCGATCATAAATTGCATTTACTTTAAAATGATGTGTCTCAAGGTATAGAGTGCCATTTAAAATATTTTAGGGTAACTGGAGGTGAGAGGGTGCAAAATAAAATTTTGGATTTGTACTTCCCCCTCGATATCTAAATCGATCTGTTTTTGCTTAACCCCTTCATATTCACTATAACTCAAAATTTATTATTGGCGGTTAGTTTTTAATTAAATTTAAGTAAAAAATAAAAATAACAAAAAATTAATATTAATAGTTATTTATGTATCAAGGGTACGTAGATGTTAGAGAATTATTCTTAAAGTATATACTTTTGGGAATTTCTCCTTAAAATTTCATTAAGATCGAACCACCAGAAGGGCAGTTTATAGCGCGCTACCTTTTGAAGGCATGTTTGGGGGCGCAACGTAAAAATGTCTCCAAATAGCTTAATTAAGGTAGTTGTCGTGCTGTAAGCATACCATCAGAAAATTTTAAATTTTTGTATACATATTAAGGACATGACAATACAATTATCCTTAAAATTTGAAGTCGATTGACCGTCTATAACCCGAGATAAATTCGATTAAAAATTGGATAATTAACATGGATTGTATACGCTTTCTGTAGTTCTGTACCAGTTTCTTAGTTATAAAAAAAAACTAACTGTCAGAAGCTTTCAAAAAACTAACAGTCTTTTAATGTATTTTTGCAGAGTTTAAAAAAAATAATTAAAAATTTTTGACCGTCCAATTGTTTATAAATAACTGTTTTAAGTTCAACAATTTGTAAAAAGTATACATCACTAGTGTCAGATAAAAACAACCTGGCAACGCTGTACGCGAGTATAGACATTATTTCCGCAGTAAATTCAAACACTGATTCAGTCTCCAATATATCTATTGGTTAAGCATAAGCGACGTTGCCGGATTAAAACTTAAGAAAATATTTGAAAGTATTACGTAAAGGTATCGTCTCCAGGGTACAGTCTTACGAATAAATTATGAATCACTTAGCTACAAGCTCGTATACTTTTACGGTGCGTATAATCTAAAAATTTTGGACAATATTGTACCACGACAACTACCTTACCTTAAAACTGTGTAAACTGATTTCATGTAATAATAAAATAAAAATATTGATTCAATAAGATAATTTACCTAATGGCCGATTCTGTAATATTAGACAAAGAAAAGCAAGAAAATATTATTTTTCGAATAATTTATATATTTTAAAAATGTAAAAAAAATTCATTGGATTCTTATTATTTAATTAAATAAGTGTCTAGAAAAGTTTATAATATAGGTATATAATATAAGGTATAATGTATAAAAAATCATTTGCACAAAAAAATATTTAACTTTGTCGAAGTTAAACAATTAAATTAATAGAAAAAAATTAATACTTGACATCTTATATATTTTTTTTTTAATTAAAATTTCAAAATGGTTTTTTTCTTGCAGATTTTTGGTGAATATTAAATGTTAAGTTTTTTATTAATTTTATTAGAAAAAAAATAATATAAACCGAACAAATTTTGACTCTCTAATTACACTTTAGGAGACCCGTGCACTGATGGAGAGGGATCTCCAGGAACATGCAAAAAAATTCTTGAATGTCCTGCAGCAATCCAGGCAATTCAGACAGGAGTTTTGCCACAAAGATGCAGTTTCGATGGAAGTGTTCCAATAATTTGCTGCAAAAATCCAAAAACCTCCTTGCCAGATCCGACTCCAAGACCTCCAGTTCTCACATCAAGGAAAGCTGGAGAAATGAGCAGAAAAAGTAAGATTAACTAAATATGTATTTTTGAACGACCATAATCGACCACCTTTGAACCCGACCCCTTTCGATCAGGCCAAAAGTTTTCCATTCTTTTTTACCCTTTGAAAAATATTTTTGAAAATTTTTTCAAATTTTTTTATCCAACCCCAAAAAAGTTTTAAATTTTTCAAAAAAATAGCTTTTTATTTTCAAATAGCCATAACTTTTTCAAAAATTGACCTTTTGGAATCTTTTTTTTGTTTTATTAAGGGCATGTTTTTGTACCAACCTTTAGAATTTTGTTTATTCCAAAATGGATTTGGAGTAAGAAAGATACCATCTGATTTATGCATTTAGATCTTTAAATAGTCTACTGGACAAATGCTTGGATCTTCCTCATTTTTAAAAATTAATTTACTATCACTTAATCTTTTAGATCCTCCTTGTGCAGTCTTAGAAAACACTGGATTTTATTTAATTCTGCCTGTGAGCATCCCATCGTTGGTTTTTTCTTCACTAAAATAATACAACATACATGCTGCCACCTCTCCATGCTAACTCGTAAGAAACAATATGAAATAATCTTTTTTGTAAACCTTCTGGTTCATTTTCTTTCCATAACTTAGCCATTTTTATAATTTACTCTTTTGTATAAGCGTTTGAACTTCTTTTTCTGCTTTCCGGAAGTCTTTGTAACTCCTTTCTTTTTGCGTTTCTAGCATCACGGGCCTCTTTGAATACAATATCGAAAAATAGATTAATTTTGATACTAAAATCTTGATAGAATTTCTATTGAAGCATTTTTGCCGTTGAGTTTCACATAATATATAATCATCTCCATTATTTTTTTTCATATTGCATGCCAAATCAAGCAAAATATTTGCTAAATATTGCTGTGATGTTAAGTCGAATAGTTTGTAATTTATTATAATGGGTACAATTTATATTTACAGGGACTGTATGCAATTTATTTCTTCATTCGGATTTCCACTCTTTATTATAAAATATAGATACAATGAATACACATTTTAATTCAGTAAAAATCATAACACAAATAAGTAGTCTAATTTCAAACAGCATTTTTAAAAGCGTTGATTAAGAAAATCTCCACTTAACAGTACGAGGTGTGTTCAAAATTATATTATATATTATGTTGCCATAAATTCGTAGGTATATTTTATCGTTTAAAATGCAAAACTGCAGTTTTATACATATTTAAAATAACAAAGTTTACATATTATGTCACCTCAGGTTAAACCGGACGTGGAATATGGTTTAAAATACCTATTTTATAAAAATAGACTTAATTATAAACGCTTTTAAAATTTCAAATTGATATCTTTTTTCGTTCCCCAAAAACTTCTAATGGACCACGAATGTGGTGTATAATTACACATGTAAAATAATTGTGTTTATCTACCCCTATTGTATAATATTGGTTTTTTCGTATATAATGATAATCATTATAACCGCCGCGCCTGACAATTAATGAACTCATTATTTACGTTGCTAGGCATCAGTAATTGGCAGATTTCAATATTCACTGTGATTTAACCCATTCGGGTTTTAAAATTGGAGAAGGGGACTAAATCTGAAAGATGACAAATTTTATTTATTTATTTTTTAAAAACATTTAAATATCTACTAATTGGAGTAGATAAAGTATATTATTACACTCGAGATTATGCGCATTATTCACCCGGATAATTTGCGTCCCTTGTCTGGCGACTCTAAACATAAACCTCATTCTTTTAAAAATAGCCTGCACTATCTCTCCTACGTAAATATACTATTATTTTTGTTTTTTTTTAGAATGTAAAGAGTATGCAAAGTACGTATACGAAAAAACTGACGCGGTGGTTCCGATCATCGGAGCTCAACCAATGACGACGTATGAATGTGGGATTACAGCGGTTCCACTTATTGTTGGAGGTGAAAAAGCCGGATTTAAGGAGTTTCCTCATATGGTAAAAAACCTGTACCTATTAGTTTAGTGAGTAGCCTTTCTATAGGGAAGACGCAACCATGCCATATTTTTTATATTTTTTCGAAGCGCCTTTACTTAAAATTATAAAACATGTTTTTTAAATTCAAAAATATTGATAATATCATATTTAAATAAATATTTAACAGTTTTTAGACAGAAAACAATTGGGTATCTGGTAAACTGAAAATTAAAAATAATTAAAATAAGATTTTAATATGGATAAGCTTTCCAGCAATTTTGTTTTCTGTTGGGTGAATCTTGTTACATGTGGTTATTTTCAATTTAATAAATAAATTAAAAAAATAGTCGTAAATTTATTTAATATTTAAAAACTAAAAAAATAAATATACCTTTAATAAAAATATTTATTAAAAAACCAATGTTGCCCATAAAATAAAAAGTAGTAGAGTAGTAACGCCATTGACCTATCCAGCTTATAGGCAACGCCTATGTAAATGTACTACCACAGAATAGAGTTCTGTGGTACTACACTTGCTCTTGAAAATAGGCAACGGCTCGCAATGGTTAGTGGCACACATAGAAGCCACTTATATTTAAATTTGGCGGGAATAGTGAAGTGGCATTTATAGCCAGTAAGCTTTAACGACCTTATTGTGGCGGCTAGCCGCGGCTGGTGGATTTTGGGCACACCCATATCTCAGTTTTTAGACATGGGACCCACATCAAATTTATATGAGTTTACAATGACATTATATAGACAAGTTCTGCGCAAGCAGAATTTAAATTGAAGTTTGCGAAAAAAAAAATAGTTTTTAAGTGTGCCCCCCCCCCAGCCTCCTGCCCCCCAAATTAAGATAATTCAAATTAAAGTAGTAAAATATTTAATTCACTAAAGTTTATCGACAAATTTCAAATTTTATTAAAAAATTTCAAGAATTTTGTACCATTTTAAGTTTTTATTACTTCTTTTACTAAATTTTTAAAAAAATAGAAATGGTATAAAATCTGTAATACTTGTTTTTTTTTTAAATAAAATTTGAAATTTGTCGTTAAACTTCAGTGAATGAAATATTGTACCACTTTAATTTGAATTATCTTAATTTGGGGGGGCACACGTAAAAACTAACTTTTTTCGCATACTTCAATATGAATTCTGCTTGCGCAGAACTTGTCTATATATTGTCATTATAAACTCATATAAATTTGATGTGGGTCCCATGTCTAATAACTGAGATATGGGTGTGCTTAAAATCCACCAGCCGCACAGTGTTTCAATTCTCGAAATTTTCGGCAAAATATCAAGGAGTAGTCGGATTCTCCTAAAAATCCGTATATAGAGGTTTATGGGGTCAGAATTCCAAAATTCAAAATGTTAGATCCAAAATGGCGGACATATTTGTCAAAAAATTGACGGAATAAATTGAAAATCACCATACAGGGTTTTTGGGGTCGCTGATATCGAATCTGGAATCAGAATGTCAAAATTCAAAATGGTAGATCCAAAATGGCGGACATATTTGTAAAAAAATTGACGGAATTAATTGAAAATAATTTTTTTGGTCGCTGATAATGAATTTAGAATCAGAATTCCAAAATTCAAAATGGTAGACCTCAAATGGCGGACATTTTTATCAAATATTGTTCAAATTAATTAAAAATCCGTAAGAGGTTCTTTTTAAAATGTAATAAAATATCTTTTTATAAAATAGCTTAATTTAGTTTATTATTATTACATTTATATAATATTATTTAATACCTACATATACCGTATATTAAACAATCTCCGTCACTGGATTCGCTCGTTGTATCATTAGCAGAGCATGGGAAACCATCAGAAGATAGCAACAGTTTTATTGCTTTGCAAGACAAAGATTTGCTCTTTTTCGGAGCAATTTTTCTGAAGCTAGAAATATACGGATCGGAAGATGCCATAAGCCAATGGAAAACATCTTCCATCGTTTTCTCCCGAGAAACTTTTAAAATTTATTTATAAAATTTAAATATAACAGATTTTATACTAAGTATTTTAAATTTGTATTATTTCTTTTACTTAGTATTTTAGCAACGATTTCTTAATTCGCTAAAAAAATTGTCAACACAAATAACCACAATTCAAATTTGACATTAACACACTACAATGCGCATGCGGAGTTGTTTTAACGCACCTACAAGAGGTGGGTTAAATATGTAAAATCGCTTTTGTAATAAACGTTTTGAGTTAAATCCGAGTGAATCGAGTAAACATCATAAACGCAACCTAGAAATAAAAAGAATCTTATATTTTTTAAAGCAAAAACACAGATACGCGTTCGACATAAACCCAAGAACATGTAGTTTTAAAGAGCCGGGGGCAAGAAGGGGCAGCTAATTTATTGATGGCTTGATAGACAAAACTCTTAGCTATTCAACGGATCTTGATCTGATGCCTTACAATTCATTACAATTTTTGTAGCTCCATTGTTCTAAAAGCTCGATTCAAAGTTTGCGATTTTAACAGACCGATCTTGTCGGTTACAATAACCCGTTGTACAAGCAAAATCTACGAAAAACAAATACATATCTGAATTTTAGATACCTTGAAAATCACCCTTCATACCTTGAAAATCACCCTTCATCAAACAATCGGACACACCAAACACAAGTTATTCACTTTTAAACAATAAACAATTTTCCGCAGCGATCGCGTGTAAAGTACCTTCAACTGAAAGCGTCAAGTTTAAACTGATGTACAAGACAAAATATACGTATTTTATATAATTTTTTTTCAATACAGGATGAAGACAGGTATTAACTACCCATCTAACTCAGACTTTACTTGAAAAAAAATGTCAATTTTTGAGGTTTTGCCGATATTTTCCAGAATTGAAACACTGTGAGCCGCCACTACAACTACAACTTGAAGTTGTATGGTTACCACTAACTAAAGAGTTAAATTTCTATTCCTACAAGGGATAACAACTTATTGAGCATGTTATTCCAAAAATTACAAAATGGATCAATATTATAATAGGTACTGTTTTACATTATTCTGGAGGCCTTCATCTAGCAGAATAGTATATTCTGTAACAAGTTTGGAATACAGCATATTCCGCTCGAGTGAAGAGTTTGTCACACGAGCCGAAGGCGAGTTTGACGGTTTCACGAGAGCGGAATATGCAATTCCAAACGTGTTTCAGACTATATTTTTTCTACGTTTCCAAAAAATACCATAGAAAAGTCATTTGATTGGAAGAAAATGAGGTTGGATCGGTCTAAAATTTGTTAGATATAAAAAAACAGAGATGTCGCCACGAGTGTTTATTCTGTCATAGGATGATAGAATATTTTATTCTGTAACACTTTACGAAATATATCTCATTCCATAGATAAAAGTGATAATAGAACGGTTAAATTCCGTAATAGGAGTAGAAAAACTAAATTATTGGTCTGTTTAATCAAGTGGTTTGTTCTACCTCCACTGCAGCAATATTAAAATCTTATTGGTCAAACAAAAACATGTTTATAAAAATTTATGTTAAGTGATACTCTGATATTTTAGGCTTTGATTGGTTACCCGGATGGCAACGAAATAAGCTACAGATGCGGTGGATCCATAATCAGTGAACATTACATATTAACAGCAGCACATTGTATTGAGGACGCAGAATTGTATGTACCCAATAAAATATAACATATTATTTTATTTTACTAAAATAATAATTTTCTAGAGGTGCAGCTTCGGCGGCCGCCATAGGAATGTTAAATATAAACGACAGATCTCGTCAAGTTGTTAAAATTGTAGAAACAATTTACCATCCAGGCTACGAGCCTCCCTCTCACTACAACGACATCGGGCTTCTTAAGTTCGAAGGCGCAAAAATCAACTCTTACGCGCGACCGGCCTGCTTGTACTCCTATTTTAGGATCAACCATCAGAACGCCTTGGCTTCTGGTTGGGGAAGACTGGGATACACGGAAGACACGAGTAAAGATTTGTTGAAAGTGAAGCTGGAATTGTTCGGAGTTACTAAATGCAACTTCACTTATAGACATGATTATGGAAGTAAAAGACTGATTAGGGGAATACTTGATGACACTCAACTTTGCGCTGGGTCCACAAAAGAGTTGAAAGATACTTGCCAGGTAAATTGTTGTTAAACTATTTTGGCATTTTAAATAACACTAGTAAACAATAAAAATAAATAAAATAAAAAGGTCGGTAATTAAAATAGCTCAGTCCTATAGATTTTGACCTGCTCGACGCAAATCCGGCACCCAAAAAATTTTCCGAAGTCTCGTTTAGACGATACGGGCAGGACCATGATACAAAGAAAAATTGTTAAATAATAACGATAAAAATTAGTAAATAAAAAAGGTCGGTAATAAAAATAGCACACTCCTATAGATTTTGACCTGCTCGACGCAAATCCGGCGACCAAAAAATTTTCCAAAGTCTCGTTTAGACGATACGGGCAGGACCATGATACAAAGAAAAATTGTTAAATAATAACGATAAAAAACAGTAAACATAAAAAAAACATGCCTTAAATTTTTACAATATGTACAGATATGTTGTTCATGGAATGCTGAAATATAAGTTATAAGTAACGTCATCCTAAAATTTTCAAATGGTGTATCTATGCAATAAATGGTACCAAAATACTGTGCTCCTAGTTTTTATTTACGACTTCAGAAAATTTTTTTAAAAACATTTTGGATCTATTTCAGTCATAAACAATCGAAAAATTCTATTTTTAACCAGGACCTTTTTTTAAGTTAAAATTTGTTGCCTAGTGTAATTTTTAAATTCAAGATGGTGTAGCAGAAGTAGCTATTATGAATACTATATAAATGCAAAATACAAGAATGATATTGAATATCAAATATTTCTGTATCTATAGATTTTAAATACTTTTTCAAACATTTATTTTAGGGTGATTCCGGAGGACCTTTACAAATATTTCACGACGGGACAGACGCCAAATGCATGTACGACTTAGTCGGAATCACGTCCTTTGGAAAGGCTTGTGGGCTAGTAAAAAATTCCCCTGGAGTTTATACAAGAATATCGGCCTACATTAAATGGATAGAAGATATTGTGTGGCCTAACTAATTTCACATAGTCATCATATGACTGGACTACATATCATTATAGTTTTTAAAATTTTTATTAAACGAATTTAAGATTGCTTTGTATTTATTATTGAAATCTTTTGAAAAACTGTAATCGTTTTAAATAACCTTGACCAAAAATAAAGATAAAAATATTTGTTTCTTCGTGTTATTCAAGACTTCGCAGCAAACACAAGCGTAAAGGTTCTTTAATGGTCCTTTATAAACGTGCCTAATTAACTGAATGCCCCATAAAGGCTAGCTCTAATGGAACTGTACAATGTACAGTCAATAAAGGCACTTACAAGAACCATTCCATTTTTTGATATGGCGCTCTAAAGGTTCTGATATGGCAGATTAAATGTGGCAAACTAAATTTTTTAATATAGGGTGTTAAATATTCTATAGTGGTTATTTAAATATTTTTTAATGGATAAAATAAGTAGGTATCTATTATGGTGGATTAAATGTGGTAGGTACGGTACCTAAGGTACCTATATATTTATCAGATAAGGATATTTCACGATAATTAAAAATTGTTATCCCTACCTTCAAAATACAATTTTTGACGGTCGGTATAAAAATTTCCGATAATCGTGGAATATCCGACCCAATAAATATAAACAAACCACATTGGATTTAAGCAGCACAAATAAACATTAAGTTAACATTAACATTAAGAAGTTAAATGAACGTAATCCATTGGAAGCTTTTATGCAACACATTAACATTAACTTTAGCATTAAGTTAACATTAATCTTTATTCCTCCTGCGCAGGTTTGCGGCGCAATTTTTAAATAAACCGTGTCAGTAATGCCAACATACCCGAAAATACAATGAAACTTACTGCTGAATGATTGATTTTTTCTTCAATGATTGTGTTCTTTGGTTGATTGTTTGACGTGGAGTTTATAGTTTTCATTTATTTTACTTAACAGATGCTAAAACGGGATTAAAACAAAATTCAAACAAACCAAAAATGTCAGATGTCAAAATTACTTTAACATACGCATGCTTAATTTGCTACTAATTTTGCTGCATGAATACCCTCCTATTAATGTTAAATTAATCTTAATGTTAAGGTTAAAGTTAATCCTAATGTTAATTTATGCTGCATAAATCCACCATAATATATTATTGTGAAATGTATTACTAAAACAATAATAAATTTACAAGAAAAAATACAAAGCAATGTGTTATAATAAAGACCTGTATAAGTAAAACCTAACATTTTTATTTTAAAAACTGTTTATTACCTAATAAATGGAATCCATAATATTTAAATAATTTTAAAAAATCCTTAAACTAAATAGAACATTTAAAATTAAAATATTTATTTACAGAAAAGAAAACCAGGTTTTCTTTGCAATTATTAATTTATTTTATTCGCAATTGCCCCAATTTTACCAATTAAACCTTTTTACTAAATTCCTTGGCGGTATATTGTCTGTAATTGTTATAAGAGTTCTATGGAAATTACACTGGGCGTCATTTTTAAAATATGGCGTTAACCAAAGAATAATTCAAGGGGTCAATGCAAGAACTGCCTAAGTCACATTTTCAATTAAATTGTTATTGTAAATGCAAACTAAGGCACTTGGGCACATATTTCTGCCACTTTGAAAATTCCACCTGAAACCTTACGTGAAACACTCTTAGTTGAAGCCACAATGTAAATTAATTTGAAAATGACTTAGGCACTTCTTGCATTGACCCCTTCAATTAAAGGTTCATGTAAGTTTTATATAGAAAACATTTGGCACTTCAATGGTTTTTCAAAGTTCCATTAACTTGATACTAGAAATTGCCATATATGGGTCTTTTATTGTAAAATATGCAAATATCAGTGGCGGCTGGTGAATTTTGGGCACACCCATTGGCGTAACTAGCCATCTGACCAGGGGGGGGCTAGGGTGGGCCTGTTTTAGTGAATAGGAATTTTTAAAAAAGTAAAACAAATGTTGTCTCCAAAAGGCACAAATACCAATTTTTTTGATCAAACAGTTCTAATATGTTTAATAAAATTACAAGGTAATTTTTAACATACCTAAGAATAAAAAAAAACTGTAAATAATATATAAAATTAAAACCTTAAGTTGGTATTGGAAATCGACAAAAAAGTACCGCATGCATTTTATAAAATAAGCATTAAATCAGCTTTAATTTCCTATTTGGTTGTGAAAATAATTCCAGAACCCGATCAGCTGTAACATGTTCTTTAACTAAATATTTTTCGATGTTTATAATGGAAACATTTGCTAATCGAATTGAGTCATTGTAGTTTTGGTCAAATTTTTAATCCAACGCATGACAGAGAAGCTGCGCTTACAACCAGCGGAACTTATCGGCAAGGAAATAGCAATTTGAATTAATTTGTAGAGGTTTGGACAAAAGTCTTTTTTATTGATTCTAAATTAGTTTCCAGATTTTTTAGAGTAAGCATATATTTTACCACCAATATCTCGGTTTCAAGCATCCTCACATTAACACTGGTAATAGAGGAATAATTTTTAATAGAATCTCGGCTTTTATTAAAATCTAACTGAAATAATGCATCTGCTGCTTGCGCCAATGGTAAATTTGAAAATCTGCATCTAAAATTGGATATTAAGTTATCCATAATTTGGTAGTAAATATTTATTTTCCAGTGTTCTGAATGATTCGAATTTGATGATCCTGATGAAATTTCTATACAACCTAAGATATGTAAAAGATACATATTTCTATTGCAAATTTGGTAATACCAAAAAATTATAACAGATAAAAGTCAGCCTTTTCCTGGTGGGGGGCAGCGATGTCTGGGGGGTGCCCGGCCCCCCTAGGCCCCCATGTAGTTACGCCAATGGGCACACCCATATCTCAGTTATTAAACATGGGACCCACATAAAATTGAGTTTATAATGACACTATATAGACAAGTTCTGCGCAAGCAGAATTTAAATTGAAGTTTGCGATATATTAAGATAATTCAAATTAAAGTGGTACAATATTTAATTCACTGAAGTTTATCGATAAATTTCAAATTTTATTAAAAAAATTCAAGTATTACAGATTTTATACCCTTTCATTTTTTTTTTAAATTTAGTAAAGGAAATAATAAAAATTTAAAATGGTATAAAACCTGTAATTCTTCAATTTAATTTTAATTTAAGATTTGTCGATAAACTTCAGTTAATTAAATATTGTGCCACTTTAATTTGAATTATCTTAATTTGGGGGGGCAGGAGGCTGGATGGGCACACTTAAAAACTAACTTTTTTTCGCAAACTTCAATTTAAATTTTGCTTGCGCAGAACTTGTCTATTTAATGTCATTATAAATATTATAAATTTGGTGTGGGTCCCTTGTCTAATAACTGCTATTGGTATACCCAAAGTCCACCAGCCGCCACTTAATTTAAATATCAACTGCAGTTTGTTGATAACTTTAACTTAACCCTGTCGATTAAGAATAGGAAATCCCAATCACATGAAATAAAGTATTTTGTGAGTCAAAGGCCTTATTACAATAATAATATTATAATAGGGCCTTTAACAAAATACTTTATTACATGTGATTGGGATTTCCTATTCTTAATCGACAAGGTTTTTACACAGTTAGTTATCAGTTAATATTTATTAAACACAGATTTAGCATTTATAAATATCTAGCAATTTTATTCAAGGTTTAGTAGTGTTTCAATCAATATCATGCATTTAAAAATAGCAATTACACTGTTGCTTTTAAAAACAATAAATGCTGATATACAAGCAGGTAAATATTGACTTCTTTCTGCATCGAAAACAAAGGTAATAACATAATAAAACATGTTTTAGGTAACACCTGTACGTTAAAATCTGGCGAAGAAGGGATTTGCAAATCCATTGACCAATGCGACCATGGGATCAAAATGGTAAACACGGGAATATTTCCGTCTTTGTGTGGTTTTAATGGAACCGTGGCTATAATTTGTTGCCGGTATACAACTGTCGTTTCAAAACAAACCAGGGAAATTCCGAAAAAGAGAGGACTAGGAGATATAACTAAAAAAAGTATAAACGTAAAGGATTTTTAATACATAAATTAATGATTTAAAGTGAAGTGTTAATTTATTCCATTTAAAGAGTAGGTATTTAAGGAAAATTCCCGATTACGTATATAGGTAGTCGATTGTGTTGTAAGGATTGTATTCTTATTTTTGCCAATGTCAGCCCAATTTGAACAAAACAATCTATACAGGGTGCAGTAGAGAAACTTTCGTTTTTAAAAGGCAAATTGGATATATATTTTTTTAATTTAATGCTTTTAAAAGATAATTTGGTTAGTAAAGACCGTTGCTGTAGCCACAGTGTCTAGCCAGTGTCTGTCAACTATCGGCTACTAAAATGATCAGAGGTCGTCAAGTTTTTCTATTTTAAAATAGTTATTTATGATATAAGCGCTAATTTGCTATAAAGTTTATTATTGCTATGTTGAAGGAGATAATGAACATAAAGAATCAGAGTATATATCAGTCTGGTATCTGAAATGTTATGACCACTTTAGACCCACCTTAAACCAGCAACCAAACCATATTACTTAAGTATTACTTGAAAATGGTAGTAGTAATTCTAGTTGAGTTTTGCAAGTTGTTTTCTTACATTATAATATTTTTAGTATTTAGTGACAGTTTAATGTCTAGTTTTAGAGAAAACAAAAATAATAAGATAAATAATATGCGGGAAAGAGACGAGGATAATAAGTAAAGAGTAGTAAAGTTTCGCTTAAATTTTGGCCACTATACCTCCACGTTATAGTAACGTAATCACAACGTGGTATAAATGTGTCTGTATACAATCCAAGAACGTTGTTGGAACGTAACTGACACTAATAAAGTGATTCCCATTTTAGTCACTTCCATGTAGCACGTGGTAGAGATTTTGGCAATACACTTTACAGTTGCAAGTATAAGTGGCCGATACATTTTATCCACTAAAAATGCTACTTGGGAGCGACAGTAAAATCAAAACTGGTTGAAGAATATCACGAATTCCTGGAGTAACTGACAAAAGGCTATAAAATCTGCCTCATTTGGTCATCTGAGAATTTGGGGATTCGAGGCAATGAAAAAGCCAACATATTGGTAAAAAAAGGGTTCTAGGGAATTGCCAATAGGTCAAGAATCATTCTGCAAGTTAACAATTATCAAGGTAGAAATCAAGAAATGGGAGCAAGGGCTGAAATCCTCCCACTGCTTGGAATAACATTGAACAAGCCAACCAGGCCAAACGCCTATTGGCAATACTGTGGGTACAACAACCCTTTCCTCCTAAAATGAAAAAACCTGAAGCAGGTCACCACACAGTTAATGCGCATCTAAAAAAGATGGGTAAGGTATACCATTATAATGATTCCTGCAGATTCTGTAAAGAGTACAGAGAATCTGTACACTTTCTTTCGGTAGTGCGAGGAACTTGCAAAAATATATCATTTGGAAATTCAACCCCTACCTACGAAGATTTTAGAAATAGTTATACAAGAACACTTATCTGGTAAAATAACAAAAAACCAAGGGGATGGTAAAAAAGATCTAAAGGTCGCGGTGCCCTAGGGCTTCGGCAAGGCCCACCCTGTTGTTAAATAATCATAATAAATATTAGTTGATCAGGGAAAAAATCGACAAATTTCTCGCAGGAGGGTAATTAATAATTTGTTAGTAATGCAGTTTATAAAATGTACAATGACGTCATTTAGGGCACTGTAATGTTCAAGTAATTTACTTTTAGTACTGCAGTACTAAAAGTAAATTACTTGAACATTACAGTGCCCTAAATGACGTCATTGTACATTTTATAAACTGCATTACTAACAAATTATACTTTTACTAAAGTCTGTATAAAAAACTACGTGGCGTTATTGGGTAATTTTTGACACCCTTTATATACATCTATTAGATAATTAGGTACTATAAGGAAAAATTTCATATATTTTTAATTATATTTACTTTTATTTTATTATTTTTAATGTGCTTTCAACAGGCACCAGGCCCAATTACAGAAGTACACAATGACAAACACAAATAAACAGCCATACCCCTGGAAGGATTCGAACCCACGACCACTCGGCTTGTAGTCCGCAGTGCTAACTACTACGCCACCGTACAACCATTGAGTACAACTACATGAAAAATATTTAAAAAATTTCAGTAAATTATGCATTTTTTTTTGAAAAAATTCTTTATATCCAATGATTTTTATATTTATTTGTAATCCGCATCCTGTAAGACACAAACGCCAAGACTTTAAAGTTTATAAAACAATTTGTCGCCAAAATAAACAAATTTTATGTAAAATGTGTCGCTTTGCCTCTAAGCTCTTTAGTTATTATTTAAACTTTATATTATGGTGTTTCGAATGAGAGCAATATGTTTTGCTTCGGTTTGAAAATCTCTTTGTAAAATGGAATTTTGTACAACATTTTCACTAAATTTTATATAATGGTCTCTTAATATTTTTAATTTGCACTACTTAAATAGCAAGATCGTTTTTTTTAAATCTCATTCTGCTCCATTTTATCCAAATTCAGTCCAAGTCTATGGACACTTTTAGAAGACGTTAGTTAAAAACTACAAAATGAGCCTGATAACGATAGATAGGTACATAGATTAAGCTGAACGAGAATTTAAAAAAAACGATAAGTTTTTTTTTTCATAATTTTTTTACATATATTAGGGTGTCCCTTATATCCAAATTCAGTTCAAGTCTATGGACACTTTTAGAAGACGTTAGTTAAAAACTACAAAATGAGCCTGATAACGATAGATAGGTACATAAATTAAGCTGAACGAGAATTAAAAAAAACGATAAAAGTTTTTTTTTTCATAATTTTTTTACATATATTAGGGTGTACCTTATTTTTCAAAGTTTTAATTTTTTAACGCATACGTCTTAATTTTGTTCATTTGTTCCTAAAACACTCGGAAATAAATTTTTACTTCATTTGGAGACCGATAACCCGTGCCGTCGAAACATGTCCATACAAGTTACGCGGAACTAGCGGCGCGTACTCGCCGTATTTGTCATTTGTTCTCAGTAAGTGTCGTGATTAACATATTGTTTTAAAGTTAAAAAAATGGCAGTGGCATTAAGAAGCAATAAAAAAAGTATTTTCTAGTTGGTGACGTAAACTATCAAATAACCTCTTTTTTAACATTCGCGAAGTTAAATTGACTGTTAATGAAAGCGCAAATCTTGTCGTTCGAGAGTGTATTATATTCTGGGAAAAAGCTAGAATCCCTACCAGAGCTGTGCCTAACTGTGTAAAAAACTTGTGGATCTTCACCGTGCTTGGAGAAAGTTACAAAAAAATTCCAAAAAAACGCAAGATGTTTACAAGCGCCGTGAGGAGGACTTTTAAAACAATTTAGATAATGTATTCGATATTGCACACACAAATGCTTTGGAATGGATGAAAATAGAAGAAGATAAAATCTTTTTACAAAAACAAAGAGAACCTGGGCGTCCAGGATGTTTAGCGGGCTTAGGTAAAAAGTTAGCCGAGAAAGAAGAAAGAACAAAACAAAGAAAATTAAAAGAAGAGAAAAAAAGAGTGTTTGTCGTCATCTCTAACTACAGAAGATTTTATCAAAACGCAAGAAAATCCCGATCAACCTACCAGCTCTGATGAAAGCCTTGAAGAATCCTTGCCATCGACATCTCAAATGGTAAGTTCTGTAACAACTTCAAAAAGAGGAAGGAAAGACTTCATCACTCCTAAGTTAGTTGCATCTTTAAATAGATGTCAATTAGGCATAAGGGAATCGGTTTATATACTTCAGGCTGTAGTAGAAGCCCGATAAATAAATCGTCTATTCAACGCATTCGCACACAGAGTAGTAAAGATAGAGCGGAAGCTATAAAATCAGATTTTCAAAATAATTTGCCTGAAACGGTGACCGTTTACTGGGACGGGAAATTATCACCCGGACTGGACGTAAGAAGTTCTAAAGAAGAACACCTGCCAATTCTTATTTCGTTTGGAGAAAAGAAACAACTTTTAGATATGCCCAAACTGGAGAGCTCTTCCGGTCAAGATCAAGCTAAAGCTGTTTTAACCGCACTTTATGACTGGAACCTCGAGGACAAACTACAAATAATGTGCTATGACACAACTGCATCTAATCATAGATTAATAACCTTTTGCATCTAATACAGGGCGATTGGATTTGGAACAAAAACTAGACAGGGAATTATTACTCTTTGCTTGCCGCCATCACGTTTACGAACTGGTTTTAAAATGTGTATTTGAAACAAAAATCCACCAAATCACAAGTAGCCCTGATATCCCGATGTTTAAAAAGTTTGGAGACAACTGGAAAACTATTAATCCTTTTTCTAAAACAATGATTGAAGAATTGTTGACATTTTATAATCAAGAACTGCAAAAATCCATTTTACGTGACGATTATCGGGAACTGATTGAACTATCTATTATTTTCTTGGGAGGAGATAATGACAAAAAAATTAAAATAAGACCTCCTGGAGCAATGCATCAAGCAAGGTGGATGGCTAGAGCAATTAATGAGTAAATTTACTCATTGCAAATATGTTTGTTGCAATCTCAGTTCAAAATTAACGCCAAGGATAAACGAGCACTTCAAGATATTTGTTTATTCATTGTGGTTATATATGTAAAACCATGGCTTAAATGTAGTCTAGCGGTCAAGGCACCAAATCAAGATTTGCGCTTTTTAAAGAGGCTTAAAGAATATAAAACTGTTAACGAAGAGATCTCCGAAGCAGCCCTGAGCAAGTTTAGTAAAAATCTTTGGTACTTGTCAGGAGAAATTACTGTTTTATCACTCTTTGATGATGAAGTAGATGAACAAACCAAGGCAAATATTGTAGCGAACTTACATTTTGTATGATTCTATCGAAAGAAGATATGTCTGATTATTTGTATGGTAAGTGGAAATACATAGTTTTATCTCTTATACCCTTCTGGATAAACTGATAATAATATTAATAATAATAATATCTTGACTATTGTTGTAGGAAAATCATTAAATGATTTTGTGTCTGCAAGAGCAAAAATTTATTTTCTCGTTTAAACATTGATAAAAACTTCTTAAAGAAACCCGTTTCTACATGGGAAGAAGATGTTGCCTATTTGCAGGCAAAAAGAAGGCTTCTTTCTTTAAGGGCCGTGAATGATACAGCTCAAAATCTTCACGGCTCTGTCGGCACGGGTTAACGTTGACATAGGAAGATAAAATTTTGTATTCGAGTAAGTCTAGGTAGTTTAAAAAAAATTAAGAGGTATGCTTTTCGATATCTGAAAAAACAAATTTTCACCCGTATAAGGGACACCCTAACATATATACCTATATTGAAAATTTAAGTAGGTACTCTTTACTTTTTATTACAAATGATCAAGGAGCATCGAAAACCATTTCTTACAAATGTTTAAAATCTTACCCATACTGTTTTTTTTCAATATTTTGAATATATTATATATAAAGGGAAAGTTGCAACTTTCATGTCATTTTAAAAATTTGGAAAAATTGTTTTAATATTTGTCTGAAAATGAAAGGCTGGAAAAAATACATGTATTTCCAATTAAAAATGTCCTATGCTCTGCGCCACGTGTTAATCGACTTTGATAACATTTTACACAAAATTTTGATCACTTTTTAGGCCGGAAACGACAAAAACTCGGCCCCCCCCTAATATGTATACTACATATATTGTAAATATTCTAGTACATATATGTACTAGAATATTTACAATATGAATTTTAAAAACCAAAGCAAAAAATAAGTTGCTCTCATTCGAAAAACTACTATTAATTTGTCAAGTTCCAGTCCCGTTTTTGTCCCACTCCAAGACACCATACCAAATTTCATCAAAATCCGCTCAGACGTTAAATACTTACAGAAATGGCGAATGTGCCGGGATTAAAACTGAATTCTAGAGTGTCCCAATTTACGCCCTTGGATGGAGTTATTATAAAAATGTATTGTCAAAATGTCATCTCGATTATGGGGTCTCACTTTATAAACTTTATTCTTAAGTGTTCCCCATAAGTAAAAATTTGAATATACAACAATAATTGTATATCTATATTATATTATAAAGATGCTGTAAATTAGTAAAATAAAACTTAATTATCCAAAATATCTATTTTTAGAATGCAAAGAATATGCCAATTACACATGGGAAATTAATGATCCAGTAATATTATTAATTGATGCTCCAAAAATTAACATTTTTGAATGCCACATACAAGCAATTTCACTTGTGGTAGGAGGAACAAAGGCAGATACAAGGGAATTTCCACACATGGTAAAATATATATAATCTATCAGGTGGTTTATAATGTTAAGCGGGTTTAAACGAATTTAAATATTTAAATCTAAATATACCTAAATCTTGTCATATTTAAAAAAAATACATTCGGAAAAATATTTTCATACAAATAATATTATCTAGATGTGAACCATCAAGTTGCAAATACTTTTCAAATCTGAACCATTCCTTTTTTTAAATTTGTAGCAATTTCTTAATATTTTTTTAAAGGACTATCGTGCCTGAAAAAGTCAAAAGGAGTAAGGTTAGGACTACTGAAAAGCCTTAAGGCATACATATTTCGCGTTAATTCACGCGAAATATGTATGCAAAACTTAACAAATGAGGGGTTTAATTTTGAAGAACATGGAACTGGATAATTTTATCTATACAAGGTGTCCCAAAATCACTTGACCAAACGAAGTGAGTCGATTTATTGCGAAAATCTAAGGCGAAATTTCCTTTTCCATTTTTTTCTAAATCGCAAAATTGCAGGAGTTATTTTATTTTTAAAACCACCAATGAGAGCGTACCCAAGCAACAATTTAAGTATTTGTTACGTATATGGGACTATTGAAGAAACTTTAAAGTGTTTTGCGACAGTCGCCGGTCTCTTTAAATTACTCTTTCATTACTTAGTTAAGTTGCGACTAAAGTGGGGAACAATTATTGAGTTCCAAAAAGGGTAGCAAATTTCACTAGCTATAAACCCTGCTACTATTTGGAACGTAGCTTCTACGTTACAGTAACGTCGTTACTAGAACGTTTCAATATCGTTGCTAGAGCGTTATAATTACTTTTATTTATTTGTTTTTACTTCTATATTAACTGTCTTTGTTAAACTTATATTGGATTATACAATCCCACCTTTTTTAAATGGAACCACTACGGAATTGGCTTTTCAATGTCGTCGTTTATTAAATATGTAGGTACTGGTAGCCCTGCTTAAAATACCCCATAGAGACCCTGTTCAAACCGATATATATTTGTATCGGAATGTATGGTGTTTCTATAGGGTGTATCGGTATGTATAGGACCCATAGTTGGGATTTATGGTTGTTCTATAGGGATATCCACCCTTGATTTATTTGCTATTGGTTTCAATGGGGAAAATACACATAAATGTAGAAACTAGTTTTTCCCCCATAGAACCCTATAGGTTTTAATAAAATTTTGACAAATGGTTGCTCTATAGGGATATCCCTATATATCCTTCATTGAGTTATTTGCTATCGGTCTCAATAGGGAAAATGTAAAAGTTATGGTGTGCCTATAGGTAATTTCCTATAAATTTTCTATTGGGCCGTATCCGGAAAAAACCATGGACAAATGCACATATTGAATCCGGTAGCTCCCGATAGATTATTTTATATAGGTCTCTATGGGGTATTTTAAGCAGGGAGTTTTTAACTTCCAGAATAACAATATAATGTTTAATTAGGCAGGTAAATGTATAAACCCTTTAAATTTTACTCTTAAACTTAAGTTATAATATGAATATATATATATATAATTATGAATTTAGTTTTTGTAAAATAAATGCGCTTCATCAATATTTAAGTATAAACAAATTATTTATTTAATAATGTTTATAAATAAAAAAATCTTAATATTTAAATAATAAAATAAATAAAATAATAATAATAATAAATTTTTTATTTAATTATTAATACAGTCTATTACCAACAAAATTACTATTTATTAAAAAACTAAACAACCATTTACAAACAAAAATAATTATAATGTATACATATTATAATATTTAGGTAGAAACCGAAAGTAACTGCTACAAATTAAATTTACTTGAAAGATTTTTTTACTTACAACACCTTTTACTTAAATGTTTATTACTTTATAGTTACCATTTAAGGAAAGAATGAAGTTTATGTTACAAAATATTGCTATTTAAAAGTTAGAAGTACTTTTAAGTAAAAATTAAAGTAGCTTAAGCTAAGTAGTATACTTAACTAATTTAAAGTTATCACCACTTTGGTAATGGTTTTTGGAACCAAAAATGCTGCTTGGGCAGTGCTGCCAGATTGGGCGCTTTAGCGCCAATTGGGCGGTTTTAAGAAATAATTTGCGCCTAGTTTTTTATAAAAAGCGCAAACCGCAATTTGGGCGATTTCTAAAGAAATAAATTGCTCTTTTGGAAATTCTTCGAATTAAACTTTACTTAAAATATATCTTCAGATTGCAGCTGCCTGTATTTAATACTTATAGATATTAGCAGCGATCACCACAAATAATAATCATAGATGTTATTAAAGTAGTGTAAACACATATACTTACTGGGTAAGTATATCAAGTGTATATCAAGTGTATATGTGTAAAAAAATTTAATTTTATAATTAGAGGTGAGTGAGGTCAAAATTTGAATTCAAGTAAAAGAAATTGAAATATGAGTTCTGATTGGACAGCTAACTTTTTTCCCCTTTCCGTTACTGGGATGTTGTGCAGCCGGCTTAACAGTAATAATATTAGTAATAAATATAGCCTACCAGCACTCACAATAATAATGAATAGGAACAGTTTCTATTCCTTATTATTTTGAATGCCAGTAGGCCATATTTAAATTTATTTATTTTTTTATTTATTTTTAATAATATTAAACATTTATTTTTGTATATTTCATAAATAATAATAAAATTGTTTACTATCAAGAAAAATGTCTTTATCTATAAAAATATTAAACTGGTGTGTTTAAGTATTTTTAATGCATTTTGCGAATTAACCGTTACAAGAATTTAATTTTAATTTTACCAATCTAACGTTGGCGCTGATTGCAATTTTGTTGGCGCTTTTGGGCGATATCTCACTCGAAAATTGGCGCCTCGACTTTAAAATATCTGGCAACACTGTGCTTGGGTAGAAGACGCTGATATTCTATCAATGGAAAAAGTTAACAAAAACATATTCGCAAGCGCTCGCAGAAACATGGCGCTCTCATTGGCGACCTTAATAATTAGATAACACCTGCGATTTTGCAGAAAAATGGTAAAGTAAATTTCGTCTTAGACTTTCCCTTTTGTTTGGTCCGATGATTTTGGGACACCCTATATCTTTAAAAAATCAATATTTAGTTCATTTGTTATTTGTTAAAACCGCCCAACATTATTGACCACCCAATATTAATAAATGTAAGGTTAACAACATTAATATTTTTAGGCCTTAATAGGTTATTTAGGCGATAATGACATAAAATGGGATTGTGGGGGAACAATTATCAGTGAAAATTACATACTAACAGCCGCACATTGCGCTTATCACCCACGAAAAAGGTAACTATTACACTAGAAATACCACATTTTTACTAATAAAACACTTTTTTCTTAAACGTTTCCTGCTACCTGCCTTTTAACTCTTATAAATCCAGGTTTATAAACGTTTAAATTGTTGCAAAATATTGACTGGAAAATCAGGTAGCAGGAAACCTGCTGACCACTACACATTTATCAGAATCGATAAAATCGCCCAAAAGAGCAAAACACAGTCGATAAAACTCAATTTTGGTCATTTTGCGATTTTCTTATGCCACGTAACATTTAAAGTATCTTTATTTATTTTAGAATGAAACCGAGTTATGTGGCGGTAGGTTTCACAAAAAAACAAAACTTTGAAGGACAACTGCTCAAAGTCCTCGAAGGAATACAACATCCCGACTTTAGCTACCCAATATTATACAACGACATAGGCCTTTTAAAAGTGGAAAAAATGAAATTTAATTCATTCGTGCGTCCAGCATGTTTAAACGTAGATTCCCATGTGAATAGGGAGCATGCAATTGCGACCGGTTGGGGCAAAGTGGGAAGTTCATCATTGAGCGACGACCTCTTGAAAGTTAAGTTGCAATTGTTTAATACGACGCTTTGCAATTCAATTCTGGGGGAGATTGGGAGGCAACTGAAAGATGGCATTTCGTCCGAAACGCAAATTTGTGCTGGATCTATGACTGATATAAAAGATACATGCAATGTAAGTACATAAATGGTAATATGGAATCAAGATGCCCAAACATCACAATTAATTAGGTTGAGCAAATTGCAAATTTGTAGTATACACCAAGTATACTTTTAAGTGAGGAGGTCCATTTCGAAACTCGGCTTATCCACTTTTTAATAAAACATTTAAAATGTAGCCCCCTACCCTGAAATGGTCATAATATTCTAAACCACCATATTCCATTTAAAATTTATTTACAAATTGACTATGGTTCCAAAACTTACCTTACCCGGACAACAATCGGGATTTCCTGGTGAAGTCATGATGATATCACAACGTGATTTTTTTTATCACGCTGTGATATCCTGAGTGCATACACATGCTTCATCACAGTGATATCATGTAGAACTCACGGTGTGATATTTGCAAAATTGCGCATGCGTATGAGCCCTGCGAACTGCGAATTTAAAACCTAGTTCGTTATTCACATTACACCGTTATAATTTATAAAACGTTGTTTGAATATCACGAATGATGTCCGGGTTCAATTAAAATAGATATTCCAATGTTTAACAAAACGTGAACAATTTGTTAAACATTGGAATATCTTTTTTAATTGAACCCGGACAACATTCTTGATATTCATACGAACATCATGTCGTGATTTTCACAAATTTTATTCATACTGATATTATACGGAAGTCGCCGCGTGATAAATGAAAATCATACGAACGTCACGTCGTGATTTTCACAATTTTCACTGTTTGTGATTGACCGATGGCCTAAAAAATCACGACATGATTTTTTATGCCATCGGTGTTTGGGCATTAAAAATCACGACATGATTGTTTATGCCATCGGTGCACCAACATGTTTGGATATTTATTTTTGCGCCACATTCGTACATTGAAAGAAAAAGTATGTTAACAATTGAATTACCAGTTTTTGCGGTCAAATACATTTAATATTTTCTTGGATGTAAATTAACTAATAATTGTAATCCAAAAAAATGATTATCCAAACACCGTTGGCAATAAAATCACGACATGATTTTTTGTGCCATCGGTCAATCGCAAACAGCGATGGCATAAAAAATCACGACATGATTTTCTCACGCAGTGACATTCGGATGATGTCCGTATGAATAAAATTTGTGAAAATCACGACGTGACGTTCGTATGATTTTCATTTATCACGCGGTGACTTCTGTATGATATCAGTATGAATAAAATTTGTGAAAATCACGACATGATGTTCGTATGAATATCACGAATGTTGTCCGGGTATGTAGGTATAATGTCAGAAATCGGCTAAAATGTATGTAATTTTAAATAATTTAAAATTGGAGCTATACCTTTTTAATCAAGGTATATAAATGTTATACTTATGCCTATATATTTCGTTTAAAGTATTCTGTTGGCCTGATATGCGTTAGTACTCACCTAATATTTATAAGCCAAGATTTGCATTGCACCTTCTCAAGTATGGGTATCTTTTTTATTTAAATAGCTACAAGGTCGGATAAATTAGATACAAGTTGCGTGATTACAAGTCTATTAAAATTAGATTGAAAAAGATCAGCGGTTTTTAAATAATTTAAAATAAAATTAAAACCTGTCAAAACCAAAAATCGTTATCCTGGGAATTTTTAAACACCAAAAGCTGATGGTTCGTCGAAAAATAAAAGTAGTTTTTCAAAGAAATTATGGTGGAATTTTGCTTTATTTTAAACTTTAAAATTTAAAGTACTCATTTTGGTTAATTTTTAATATTATGTAGGTATATCCTTTATTTTTTGTAGGGAGATTCAGGAGGTCCCCTACAAATTTTCCACAATGAATCTTTGGATGGTACAAAATGTATGTACGATATCATTGGAATCACATCTTTCGGGAAAAGATGCGGGGTAAACGTTGGAAATCCTGGTGTATATACACGAGTTTCTGCATACATTAAATGGATTGAAGAAACTGTTTGGCCAGAAAATTAATTGATTTCAAATATGACTATATTTAATGTTCCTTTTTTACATATATGTAATAATATATTATTACAATAAAATATTGTATTTCTTACCTTATTATATTTAAGGTACTAAACTACTAAAATAATGATAATAAGTGGTAGAACATTATTTATTAGCAAGTAATAAAAACAAAGTGATATTTTAAAAGGACATAATAAATTTAAAGAATTCGCAGATCAATGGATTACCCAGTCCTAAATAATTTTTGCCAACTACAAAAATTAATAAGATAGGAAAATGATTTAAATTTTGCTGTGGGCATTTCTCAAAATTTATTATGTTGAATACATGAGATCAAAAACAACGGCACTTAATTAAAAAAATATAGTTTATGTGGGTTTTTGAAAGATTGTTTGAATTAGAGAGTATTTATAAAAGCACTAAAAATAACTAAGCAACCTCGTCACAACTACAATCTATAGCCAGCACATGTTTACTTTTATTATATATAAATTGTTCTTAACGTTATATAAAGCACTCTTACATACATACATACACTCAGATTAATAATCAGAATGAAAATAAAGTTTATCACACAGTATACTTATATATTTTAAATATATATTAACAATTTATAAAAATTAGATTAAAGAAACCAAATTTAAATCATAAAAAATTGAGCATGAAACCCAAATCTACAAAATATTAGCGTTAGCAACCAAAATCTACATAAAAATAAACTTTTATATACATCAACGGTCTTTAAGAATATTACTTCAGATTTGTTATTCTTAATAATTTCCATTTTATTTAGGATTAGTGCATTTTTATTATGTTTTAAATTGTGTTAACTTGTGGATTAAATGTAAGTAATAAAAATATATTCAAACTAATACAAACCATAACCTGACTAAAAATGGAATCTGGATATTTATCTACATACTTGGGGAGTAGAAATTTATGTAAAATACAGTATGTATATGAAATTAATAACCTGAAAAAAAAAATAACAAAAACTACAGTACTAAATAGCAGAGAAAGCTGTTTATTTCTTAAACGTTAAGAAAACATATAAAAAGAGTACTTTGTGCAAGTAAACAGATAATTTAAAAACAATAGCATACATATAATGTGTGCTCCCACGCCCAAGAAAATGTTAAAATTATGGCCATATAAAATTTAATTTTTGCACAATATAAATAAAAACAAAAACTAACGTGTTTTAATAGCAATTTAATTAAAAAGCATATAAGTAGCTAAAAACGTATATAAATAGGAATAGCACTATTGCACAGAATAAACAATTCTTTTTGCAAACATAGTGATGTTAGTCATTGTATAAACTACATGTGAACCATGTATCGTATTAAAATATAATGGAATTGTTTATTTTGTATTGTTCTATAATTAATATATTAAATTTATATACTTTGCACTTTAAAAATTACTTATAATAATAAATCTTCATAATATCCTGTACAGATAAAGCTAAAATATAATTTAAATTAGACCTGTGAAGTCCATTGTCACAATTAGTGCAATCGTAGCTGCTGCGCTCGAAAAATCTATGAAATAAAATGTCGCTGGCAGTCTCGATGAATTTATTAAATGATTTAAAACTACATGGGCAGTGCCTGAAATTAAAACAAGTATAGATATTAGCGACCATTACAAGTTTTTCAGAAGCAAAACAACTTTAAAGCAAGAAAAATTAAATTTCCATATCTACGTGCATAAAGGAAAGTCGATCTTTACGGTGCGGCAGCACCATAGTGTTATTTTTATGGTACAAAAACAAATTAAAATATTTTAATATAATAGGTTTAATACCTCGAGCAGACTACTCTATGTATGTAAAATTAGTATAAATTGTATACTATAAAATAAATTTATTTTATACTAAAACTAATGAGAACTGCTTAAAGCAGATAGTACAAGAACTAGAGAGATCTAATTGATGAAAAAACCTAAAATCACACTGATTTGTGACATATACAGGGTGCATCAAGTATCCTTCTATGTATGGGTATCTTTTTATAACCAATTACAAGGTCGGTTAAATTAGAGATAAGTTGAGTAATTACAAGTCTATTAAAATGGGATTTAAAAATTAAAACAAAAATTACCGGTTCTCAAATTATTTAATAAAAACTGAAAACCAAAACTTCGTCATTCCTGGGAATTAAAAAAAAGAAAATTTCACATGTAAACGTACACATTTATCTAAATTTTTATTCAATTTGTGATTTTTTTCAAATACTGGATTTTGAGTAATAATAATAATAATATGTTTAAATAGCTTAAGCTTCATATAAATACAGTGTAACCTATTGCACCATCTTTTGTTCTTCCTATAGCATCCATATTGGAATTTTACATAGTTAGAAAAAAATCAAGGAATTCATATAAAAGTTTTGGCGGCCATTATAAAAACAAAAGATGGTGACGGTAACTCTAAATATAGTAGGGAAGAAATTGGATGAAAATGTTTTTCAAAATTTCCAAGAAAAACGAAGTCATCGATATTTGGTTTTGGAATGTTTTTAGATATTTTCAAATATTTTGAGAACCGATGGATTTTTTTCAATATATAAATATCATTTTAATAAGCTTGTAATTACGCAGCTTTTCCCTACTTTAACCGACCATGTAGATCTTCAAATAAAAAATACCCATAGAAGGTGCACCTGTATAGGTTAAGTTAAAACCTAAACACTAAAATTATTGAAAAAAGGCTATCATTGAAAAACAGTTACTTCCAAACTAGGGTTATAAATTTTCTGAAAAAATCGAGCCGGCGGAAAAAAAGTTTATTATTATATAAATTTTTACTTTTCGTATACTGATATCAAGAAAACAGTGAATTTTCGAATGCAATTATAATCATATAATATTATGATTACAATAATTATTCCTATTATTTTAATTCAATAAGAATATTCTGCCAGGCCGCAAAAAAAATATTCGGTTGTATTAACATAACCATGATTTTATTTGACAAATCTATTTAAAATTATAATTTTTTAATTTTGAATATTTTCAATGGACTCCCTTTTGCAAAAAGGAACCAACTGACAATACATTTAACGTTTACGTTCTGAGGGTAAAAGGCATAAGGGGATAAGTCAAAAAAAGCAATTTTTCAGAAGAGCCTTAAACGTATTTGCATTAATTCAGGAAACATATTTATGGTTAGCGGGTATACCGTTTTGTTAGCCCATGTCATATACTAACAAAAGCGTATATCCGCTAAACATAAATATATTTCCTCAATTAATGCGAACCCATTAAAGGCTCTATTGAAAACTTGCTTTTTTTGACTTATCCCCTAAGGGGATTCCCCTTATGCCTTTTACAAACAGCGTTCTTAAATCAAAATTCATTTCAATGTTTAGTTTTATTTATTTTTCTGTAATAAGGGATATTTTTTTAAAATTAAATTAATGATAAGTTGTTGATTGCTACCTTTATTAAAATGGGTATATTTAGCAAAAAAAACAATTTTTTCAAGGCCTGAAAAAAAACGAAAATAAAGTTTTTTCTCAATAATTCCGGTTATTTTTTCCACACTTTAAAACCCTATTCCAAACAACAAAGAAAGTTTTAACAGTATTAAAATAAACATTTAAATTTGCAAAATAACAAAGGGTGAAAAGATAAAAAAGTTTATATAATATGGATGACTTGTAAGAGTATTATTTTTATTATTATTAAAAAGGGTATAATTTTTGAAGATATATATCTAATTATAATTTAAGGCCCATACTTCATGGACCATATGGTGGATTTTTATTTTTCTTGTTTTAAAGTCGTTTTACTGCTTACCTAGGCTTCACGAATTTTCTTTTCTTTTTTCTTTTTAAGGAATGATGGAGTCCTTAAACCTTTCTTCTTTTTCTTGTCCTTCTTTGGAGATCCTTCAGAGAATGAGCGATCCTAAAAAATATTAAAAAATTAGAAATATAAAACCATTTTAAATAAAAAAAGTACCTCTTTACTGCTTTGAGACAAAGTACTCATATGTGCATCTGATTGATCTCCATTTACAGTGTGCTCACCTATAAATAAAAACTTATTATCATCTGGTAATAATATTTTTTTATTTGAGTTAATTATTTTTTTTTATACAATTTACCAAAAAGCAAGGTAACTATATACAAAATTATTAAAATATAATAATTGTACCCAAAAATGTTGCTTACCCAATAAAGTTCTTATAAATCAGCAAATTCAAAAAATTTCTTGAGCTACTCTTCTTTATTCAGCAAAAACGCCTTTATTACTTATTATTGCAATATGCAATAATAAAAAAGTAGCTCTTAAAAGAACTTTTCGGGTAGTTATGAAAATAACTTTTTAGTAAACATATTTTCTTGATTAATCACCAATCCACTAATAATTTTATTTTCAATAATTTTAAATTCACATGCTTGCTAAAAACCATTTAACATACTAGTGCACATAAAACAAATAGTAAAATTAAAACCGCTAGCATACCATAAACCAAAATTAATTTACCTCTCCAAAAGAAACTTACTCGCTTGCGCCCTGTGTTAGTTAAAGAACAAGTAAACAATCAATTATTAAAACGTATTTATTTATTGGAAAATGTACAAACACAACAGTAAAAATAAAATAACGATGATTGCAAGCACGAATAAAATAACTAAAAAACAAATGTTTGCCAAATAAAACGTTAAATGCTTATCATGAAATATTAATGAATGAACTGTTTAAAATTTAGCAGATTCAAAACCCATCCAGTTTCCCTCGTCATTCTCCTTCTCAGAATCATCCACAAGATCTGTTCTGAATGTTACTTTTTTCTTATAAGTGAAAGGAGGCAAATTGTACACATTGATACGCTGAATTGTTAAGTCTTTAAAAATGTGTTTGCACGATTTTGCATCGTCTTCAATAAAATTTCTCTCATTTCCTTCTTCGTGGTCGCTATCTTCCACAGCTACATAACTATCGCTACAATTATCGTAAACCACTTGATCTTCAATAAGATCACAACCTGAGCTATTGAATAAATTCCGTTTTACACTTGGATGGACATAACTTTCGTTCATTAAAGTGTTTTCAATAGTTATTTTTTCTAGCTCTGCGGAGCTGGTTTCGTCATTCGAATCGTCAAAATCAATGATTGAAGTCATCGTCCAGCCCAAATTATTAGGCATTGGCTCTTCCAATATAGGAGACAGCGTTCTATTTAAAGTCGAGTCCAAACATATAGTTGGCGGTTTTAATGGAATATCATCCACATTCACAATAGTTGCTTCTACTTTAGTGGCATCCAATATAGGTGTGTTGGATATGGAAAACCAATACGCCTCCGAACCATTCTTGCTCTCAAAATCACTTTTAAACGAAGTCACAAAAGTTTCTTGATTATTATTATTGTTCATGGTGGAATTAAATATTTCATCGCTCGAAGGCTGATTTTGGGTTAAATTCAGAACATGATCGCCGTTTTCATCAACAATTAAAACGCTGTTATCCTTATTGATGCAATTAAAAAACAAGTCTAAAATATCCGAGAGGAATTCTGAAATGCTAAACAATTTATCGGATATTATGTTAAGACTGGTGTCTGGCGAGCCGTTAATTTTCTCGTCGACTTCCAGTAGTTTCAAGACGTGCGAACAAATATGGATTCTCAACTCGTTCTTATCTTCATCAGAACAAGTATCTCCATAAACAGAATCGTAAAAGTGTTTTAGTTTGGCCAGTAATTTATTAAGGCTTTCATCGTGTAAAACTTCAGGAAATAGTATTAATTCCTTTATTTCAAAGCATTGCTCCACTAAATAGTCGAGGATAATCTTGGACATTTCTATAACGTTTGCGGATGGGATGTAAGGAGCAGTGGATTTTCGATCAAAACTCCAGTCGTTGATTCCTTCGTCGGTTAGTTGTTCTGATGCGGTTTCAAACGTATCATCTGGGCTTTGAATCATGCTTTTTGCGAAATCGATGACTCCGCTTACAGCTTTAAAATCGCTGCTTAGCTTGATAATTTCATTGCTCACTTTATCGGCCAAAACAGTTAGGCATTGTTTTATGGAGTCATCGCATTCGTAGAACGGCAATTCCTGCAATAGATTGGTATCCGAATCATCGGCGCTACCAGAGGTATCAGATTGCGGCATTATAGATAAAACGTCGGGAGTGAGTTCAACGCAACTTTCGTTTGCGACAATTTCGTCATCTTCATCGAAACGAGTGTTGATGCTTGAATACGTTTCCCGCGTGCTGCTGCTTTCCACTATGGCGGAATCGAAAGATGTCGATGTTTCGGTTTTTAAATCTGACACGAGTTTATCCTTCAGACTTTCCAGTATGTATCTTTCGAATGAGCTCACGTTCTCGCTGGATTCGGACGAAAAATCGGAATTGGTGTTCGATTCGACGCCGACAAGGTCGCTTACGTAGGAAGTTTGAGATGCTTGGTGGACGATGTTATTAGGCATGCCGTGCAAATTTAAAGCGTTAACGAACGGGACAATAAAAGCTTGCAGAGTCTGAAAGGACATGTCGAGGAAAACTGAACGCGAATCTCTGAAATTCAGCGTGATCCTAGGCGTACTACGGCCAGGCATCGTAAATATGCGGGGATTGTAGTTAAAGTGATTGTGCGACGCGATTGTTAGTAATTTGGGACGCATCAGTTTTGCGATTTGCTTTTGGTGCACGATGTGATAGTGCTTGGGATTGGGTACAGCATAGGATCCTTGCGGCAGACCTGCATGACTATTTGTTCGGTAATAGTGATTTGAGGGTAACTTGCTAGCCAACACCTCCTTTAAACCTGGAAGCGAACCTCGATATTAGCAATGAATGAATGAAATTTTGAACCAGCGAATAGGATTTCTGCATTGCTGAAAAGCGAAAGCACAAGAATAAGGGCAAAGCGTGGAAGCGTTTTCATGAAGATAGATTTAAGTTTGCTCATATTTACTTACTTTTGTGATTGTTTGATGCTGTCCGCTCGTTTCTTAAGAACACATCAGTGGGCGACTCAACTAAACATGCGAAAAAAAATCATGCATTTCGTGCCAAACGTATGACCGTGCGTACAGACGATGATCAAATTAGGTGACCATCGTTTGTTCATACAGACATTTGACTAAAAATCATGCAATATCAAAAATTTAAGCTACTTTTTTTATTATGTGGTAAAAAATAAAATCAAATAAAATCAATTGGTTAAAAGCAATTCTTGTATTCAAAAATCGGATTAAAAAATGTTTAAATACACTGGTCGACAAAATCAAACTTTTTGTTTGCCACAGGGAAGCCAATAACTACTCTAGGGTTAATTTAGGTGCGCCGATTCCAAAAATGACCACTTTTGCTCATTAGCCTTTATTTTCGATGTATTGTGATATTGTAAACATTTAAATTCGTATATATACAGGGTGTTACTGAAGTGTGCACAATAAATTTAACAGGCGATTCTTTGTGATATTTTAAGACAAAAAGTTCATTTAAACGTGGATCTGCAAACGCTTCGTTTTTTAAATTGTTTTTTTGTAAATATTTTAAATATCCTTTACCCAATTTTGTTGTAATTTGTCAGTGTTATTTGTAGTGTTAATGGGCTAATTTAGCTCTTGATTAAACTTGGAGGAAGTTGACTGTAATACTAAAAATTAACTTGGTCTAAGCATAACAAAACTAACGGTTAAAACGAAATACGCGAATTTTTGTAATGATTACCTGAGTTTGTGTGGCATGACCAATGCTGAAGGGTGTTACTTTTGTTCGCAGGATTTTTTTTTAGGAATTTCTCTACGTACAAGGGAAAATTACCGTAAATATACATTTTGACATGCGCGGTTGTTTTAAGGGTCATTCGAGCAATTTTTATTTGATTGCATTACAATTCGTCGAACAAAAATTGTTAGCGAAACGTCACTTTAAAAACAGTCAAATTTTTACTAAAAAACGATTTAATTTCTTTAAAAGTAGGGATTTTAAAGGGACTAAATTTATAAATTTGCATAATTTATTTTTTCTACTCCCACCTTTAAAACGCCCATTATCTTACAGGTTTACATGACACTAAGTGACCTTTTTAATACACATTAAGTTATGGCTTTATAGCGCTTTAGACGCGGGCTGAAGTTAGTTTTAAGTTAGTTGACAGTTGTCAAATTTCATACAATCGTTAAAATAAAGTGCCTTTCTTCTAAAATAATACTAAATGTAAAAAATATTTTATTATCTCAATACAAAAGTATTAAATAGTTTCTTGGCGCCAATATTTGAAACGATTACATATATGAACGTTTTTACTGACTGTAGTGCAGACTACTAGATTTGCGTAAAGTGCCCATAAAACATTCTCTTCTCTTTTACTGTGAAAAACTTCTTATTTATCGCAGTGGCGGCTGGTGGATTTTGGGCACACCCATATCTCAGTTATTAGACATGGGACCCACATCAAATTTATATGAGTTTATAATGACATTATATAGACAAGTTCTGCGCAAGCAGAATTCAAATTGAAGTTTGCGAAAAAAGTTAGTTTTTAAGTGTGCCCCCCCAGCCTCCTGCCCCCCAAATTAAGATAATTCAAATTAAAGTGGTACAATATTTAATTCACTGAAATTTATCGACAAATTTCAAATGTTATTAAAAAAATACAAGTATTACAGATTTTATACCATTTCTTTTTTTTTAAATTAGTAAAAGAAATAATAAAAATTTAAAATGGTATAAAACCTGTAATTCTTGAAATTTTTTAACAAAATTTGAAATTTGTCGATAAACTTCAGTTAATTAAATATGGTACCACTTTGAATTATCTTAATTTGGGGGGCAGGAGGCTGGGGGCACACTTAAAAACTAACTTTTTTTCGCAATCTTCAATTTAAATTCTGCTTGCGCAGAACTTGTCTATATAATGTCATTGTAAACTCATATAATTTGATGTGGGTCCCATGTCTAATAACTGAGATATGGGTGTGCCCAAAATCCACCAGCCGCCACTGATATATCGATTGTTAGTCTATTTTCAAGGGATACATTTTGATGAACACAGAAAAATTTAAGATTTTAACGCCGGTAGATTCCCAAGTTATAAATTCTAAAGGGAATTCCAATAAATACAACCTTTCCCGTGTAAGAATTTTTAATACTTTGTGATAATATTTTGCAATTATAGTAATACAAAAAAATAAAATAAAAGTTATTTTAATATTTTAAAGTGTTAATAATTGTTAAGTTTAATTAATAAATTTAATTTTAAAATAATAACGGGCAATGTTAGTGGAGAAAATTACGTCAAAAGTGTTTATTGGAATGGTTACTTTTTTTCGTATAGATGTCGCTTTATACAAATATTTAATTTAAATTATTTTTTAGATAATATTAGGTATTTTTGGTAGAAAAAGTATAGTATGCAACTCGTTTATAAACTTTTCTAGGTACTCATTTAATTAATCACTCGCTCGCAAACTCGCTCGTGACTAAAATGGCATTTATCAAACTTGATAAATATAGTTCAATTAGGACTGAATTTGAAAGTTTGCATATCGAAAAAAAAACAGGGTTTTTAAAATATCTCAAAAACAAACGCTAATTGGCTAAAATTGTGGTTATTTTTGTAACCCAAATTACAACAAAACTTGTTGGCCACCCTGTGTCAAAATGACTGCTGACCAGTATCATTGTTTACAATATTATCCTGGTAAGGGCAAACAATGCAAAACTATAAACTATATTGTATGGCATGATATTTTTTGGATTATTTTCTATTGGTCAGTGTCTATCTCTAACAGGATCGGTTCTCTAAATGAGAATGAATCTGTAGTGATGAACACTTACCCCCTGCCCATCACTTTTTTTTAAAATGAACTAGCAACATAATAAGATTTTTTATCGATTAACCTGATACGTACTAAGAAAGCGTACAAATAATTTCGACTTACCATCGCTAAGAACAACTTCTGGTTGGCTGGGTCTGGGGGCCTGTTTCGTTTCTATTCGCAAAATTTGCGGTTCTGGGAACAAAAGTTGTAATTGTAAACAAAAAACAACACATAGTTAGTTTTTTGTTGGTTTGAATGGATTCTTAAGCGGAAAGATATCGCACATGGGCGACAACAGTGTCATAAGTCAAAAAAACTGAATTTTGGGTTTTTTAGTGGAATAAGTGTAAAATTACTCATAGTTCATACTGCAACACTGGCATAAAGATATTTTTGAAATTAATCCCTACATGAACACTTGTGTCTGTCTGCAATTTGTATAATCCCTATCATAATTTTCATCAACACTGTCATAAGTAAGTTGTGACAGTAATTTTGTTAACGTGGGTCAGTAAAATTACAATGGGTCTCGTTTAACGCGTTCGCTTTCCTAGTGCTACCACCGCTATCGGTGTTCAAATTCATAAAATCAATTAATGATTTAACAAGTGATCTACCAGAACCAAGTGCAACCTCAACTTATAAAGAACTCCACCATAATTAGTCGCCAACAGTTTCTATAAGAACAGCAAGCATAGCCAAAGAACTCATAAGTAAGGGATCACATACGCAGTTATTAATCAGTCAAGTTCAGATAAACACTAGGCAAAAGAAACTCCTGTAGATAATCATTACTAAGCACATTTATGGGAAAAATAAATTACGTTCTATGCGAAATAATAAACAACCGCACAGTGGGGTGATAGTCAGCCAGATCGGAATACGACTCGGACAAAGACACGGACACATACGAACAGGAAGTACTTACTTTAAGATCAGCAAGGATAGGTCCTAGCAGCGTATACGCTGCTAGTATACGCCGTTAGTATACTAACCAACCAAGCCCTCTTTATGAACCCCAATTGAATAGGGTAATTACTAAATCCCTGGTTGAGGGGGACTCCGGATTGTACTTAGTTTTGGGTCAGTTCAATGTCCCTTAAAAACAAAAATGTTTCCCTCCTTGACCGCACTGCAATAGCCTAAATCGGGCGTATTGCTAGGCCCGGCAACAAAATTCCGGGAGTGGCCTTTATCATTCACGACCTACTGGGCGAGATTTACCAGCCGTGTTTAAAAAGGGGGTTAAATAACCTTGGGAAATCATTGTAAGGCGTTGCCGATGGGGCCAGCCATACGTTCCTTATATTTCTATCAACAATAAAAGAATGAATAATTAAAACATTGATCAACACATTTTTAGCAATACAGACATATCTGCAAAATTCATGCACATATTTTCAGAAACACAGACATATCTCCAAAATTGATGCACACCTTCTCAGCAACACAGACATATCTACAAATAGCTCTTATCCAAAAAGAGTATTTTCCAAAATTTCACTTTTAACTGGCTCAGAATCTTAGCGTGGTTCTTCCTTTTGAAATAAAATACAGTAAGTTAATATTATTTGACAAATATGTGAGAATTTTATTATTCAAAAATCTTTGAAGGTTTTACTACTTATGACACTGTTGTCGCCCATGTGCGATATAATGTGCTGTAAAGATGCTTACCGTCTCTGCTTTCTTCTTCCGTCTCGCTTGTGGGTGATCGAATGTTAAGATTTCCGATTCTCTTGTTAATATTGGCCGATGAAAGTCCTTCCGACTCGCTGTAATCGGTCGTGTCGTCTGTAAAGGAGACTAAAAAGAACACACATGAGTATGTACTTGAAAAACGCGGAAACCTTGAAGACTCACAGTCTCCCTTGTGCTTCTTCTCGACCACCTTCTTGTACTCGTCGAGCTCCTCGTCGGTGACGCAGTCGAAGGGGTTCTTAGCGTACGGCGACTTGTAGACGGTCGCGTTGTGCTGGTGTCCCCTTTGGATGATGCCCTTGGACGCGGCGCCCATCAGCACTACCTGGTCGCCGGTCTGTGTCACGGTGGCGTCCTGCATTTTGCGCGCCTCCTCCCACGTCACGCCCTCCAATATGTGCGATTGCGGACCCGCGTTCTTTTGCTGAGATATGCGGTACTCTTTGATCTAAAACAATGTAATGGTTAAGGCCGTGACTTGTATGCTAATGCATAGGGTAAAGGCACCAGTAATTGCCACTGTACCAGTAGTTGCCATTTATTATTTAGAAATTCAAAAACAAAGCTATATGCCTATGTGTAAGGAAGTGTATCTAGCGTATTATGTATTTAGAACAACTGCCACCAGGTGGCGCATTTTTCGACAGGAAAAAAATATTCAGGCAACTTATTGAATCAGCTGTTTATAAAAGATTTCTTGTGACTTTGGTTAAGAAAGTGTAAGATTAGATTTTCGTGATATTGGCATATGTTGTTAATCAATTTGAGGTTTGTTTGTGCAATAGGCATATAGGTATGCTAAGTAGTTTAAATGAAACGCATATAAATTGTTCGTTAAATTAAAAGAGTATTTTGATTTAGAGTAGTGGCAATTACAGGAGCATTTTTTTTCTTTTAACCCAATATTTGCCATTTGTGGTAATTACCTACTGGAGAATTTTGAATTATCGTATGATGACCTTTATTAAACTAAACTAACCTATAATATTTAGTTTATCCTTGACATTAATAAGAACATTATATTCAAAGAGAATCCAGTAATTTCCACCCCTTTTTGAATGTGTCAATTACTGGTTCACTTTAGTGGCAATTATTGATCCAGGTATAAAATCAAAATTGATCAACATGGAACCAAAAAACAAGCTCTTTTTTCGCTATTCCCAAGAAAGTAAAGTATCTGCATTGGCTGTTTGCCAAGATGGTATGCCATTTTCCATTTTTTTTTGTTTTATTTAATAAAATAAATTAGTGGCAATTACTGGCCAGGTACACTGGCAACTACTGGTTTTTTTAAAAAGGGTCATGGCAATTACTAGTCCTCTATACCTCAATAAAAAAATATATATTGTACTTAATTATGTCTTTAATTTTTAATGTTTGGTAATATAGTGACCTTCTATAAGTATCTATTAACCACCATGGCTTTTTATTAGGACAAAATCTAAATTTCTTCTGGTACTTTTTTAGCTTTTTTGTATACCCTACCTTCTTTGCTACACTACAAATCTCTCGAAATTAAGTAAACCGTCAAAATTGTATAGTGACGTTGCACAGAGTGGTATTTAAGCAATCTAGTAGACCAAAAGTACAAATGTTAAACTACAGAAAATACAACTCTTCTAATAGAATCTCCGATAATTAAAGCCCACGATAGATGCCCATGAGCACCTCTCCATCCTCAGATGACTTTACCCCGGCATGCCTTGCAGAGATAACAGTTCGTCTTACTAAGTACTTGTATGTGATCCCAGTGACAGAGCTATTTTCAGAACCTTTTTTTGTTGCCTCTTATTGTGACAAGTATGGTTTTAGTGATTAGTACGGATGAACCAGGTTTTTACCATTACGTTGATATTAATTTTTATATTTATCATATTTAATTATAGTTTTATTGGCATTATTTAAAAACTAATTTTTAGGAGTTTAATTTTAAGCATTTTTAACATATGCAAATAGTTTAGATATACCTACATCAGGGTGAGTCCCGATGATAAATTCATTTTAATTTAATAGCACCAATAGTCTGCTACTCAAATTAATTAAACACTAGTCCCATCTTGTCCCCGTTTAAAAAATTTCCACTTTTCGTATGTCAGGAAACAAAAGTAATAAAATTTGCTGTTCAGATCTATGGTATTTTATTAATATGTTTAGTTTATTATTATAGATTGTGTTATTGTAATTTGTGGATATGTGTGGATTTTATACACAGTGTGTCCCCGGATAGGTAAAACGTAAATTCCAAATAAAAATTGAATTCAATTTTAATTTTCGGGGGTTCAGCCCTGCTTGATAAAAGATTAATTTTCAACATAATTTCAATTTTGAAAAATCCAGTATGCCTTGAAAATATTAAAAAAACTATTTTTTGTGTAGGAAAAATGCCTTTCAAATGGAATATACGACAAAATATTATTAAAAAAGTTGTTTATATATATTATTTTTAATTATTTAATTAGTATTTAATAAATTTTTATTTTGGAGTCAATTAACGTTTTATTAAATAGTAATATAATGTTATTACTATTAAATAAAAATGTTTTTCAGTGTATGCCCTTGTACAGATAATCCAAGGAAGATTCTAGTATCTCCAAAAATTGATTTTAGTGTAATAATTACGAACAAAATATCACATAAACAAAACAAAAATTTCCGGTCAAGCAGCCGAAAAAGGTATACAAATTGACATTTATTCATTATTTATTTATCATCATTTAAGTTGAATTGATTGAATTCGTTTTTTTTTTTCAAAGTCTTGTGTTAGATGGAGCCACAAAATAAATAAATGTCAATTTGAATCCACATTTACAGATGGTTAATGAAAAAACAAAAAAATTGTTTAATATTGATAAAAGAAAAGAATTTTTTTTTAAGTAGAAAAATGTTATTTTAAATTGTTTTACTATCAAATTATCACTATTATTAATTACACACAGTCGTGCACTTTTTTTAAATTTGATTATTTAATGAATATTTATTAACATTTAATCATATTTAATAAATGAATAAATTGTTTCCAAATAAATGAATGTATTAATAGTTTATAAATTTTTCTATCAGTGCATAATTATTAATTAAACAGCGATTAATATTATTATGTATGATTTAATCCTATTTTAGTGAAGAAACATTTTTTATAAGCAGACCATAAATGTAACTATAAATCTATTGAAATTACGTAAACCGACAAAATTTTATAGTGACGTTGGCGCATGATTTGACTATTTTTCTTATTTTTTCCTTTAATATTTTTGTATTTTTTATAAGCATGATTGCATTTTTTTTAATTCCCCTCAAATTAAAGAAAAACGTCTGAAAAAGCATATCTCTACCCTGGTTAAAATGTCACATAGAGACCCTGTTCAAACCCATAGATTTTTGTATTGGATTGTATGATAGTCAAAGTTTTAAATGAATGAATCGGAAATTAGTTTCAGAGAAAAAATGTATTTTACAATAACTGTGGTTCGATTAAAATTTTAAAAAAGATTTTTTAAAATTTTTAAATAAAATAATGTTTTTACATACATATTTTGACAAAAATTACATCGTTTTTGAATTGTTGATTTCCAGAATCACTTAAAAAGTTATATGTAATTTTAATTTTAATCGTAACCTATTTAAAACAAATCCATTTTAAAAAGTTTTGTTTATTCAAAGCATTTCAGTTACACCCTTTTACTAAATTTTCTAAACTCCTAGTAAAATATGTTTTTTTTGTCGGGTGGTTAATAATGCGCCGATTGTATTCGCACTTATTATTAATTAATGACATTCATTTCTTCCGCTGTGAACTTCCTCAATGAATTCCTTCACTCGCCTATTGGCTCGCTCGGAAACTTTCATCATCTGTACTAACAACAACAAAAATACGGTCTTTAACCGCATATTTTTTATTTCCCAAATTTCCCAAAAGTTATTTTTTGAACGTTTTTAATTATTAAATAAACTGATAAAGGTTTTTTTATACAAAATTTCATAAAGATTGGTAAAGAGGTTTTAGAGTTTTTTTACTTATTATGTGTTAATTTTGACACGCAGTGTACATTTGGCACTTTCATCTGCATACTTATAATCAGTAGCGGATCTAGAGGGGACTAAGGGGATCGAGCCCCCCTAAAATCTAACATATGCGCATGTTTTGTGTTCTTGTTTTAGTGTTTACCATGATAAAGTTTACCCTCAGCTGGAACAAGCCCCTCCCAAACCAAAATCCTGGATCCGCCACTGCTTATAATCCGTCACCTTATTATCTTTCTTTAAAAGTCCCTTATGGCCTTATGCCTCTCCGGACTATCGCCGTTTGGAGGGTTAATCGTTAAGGTTGTGTATATTTTAAAAATAAATTGTATTGATTAATGTGTACAAAAGAAAACCACTTTTAAAACTCCAACTGTTATTTAAAATATCAAATTTCTAAGCAATGAAAACCGAAACCAGATTTGTTGTTTAAAAACAAAAATGGATTCCTGGAATGTTGTACCAAGCCTTATTTTAGTAAATTGTCAACAAATTAAATTTTAATATTTTGCAGAATATATATTTTTTTGAATATTCTGGTGTTATTAAAAACCTATTCAAATGAGGGATAAACTTATATTTTTAACCCAGTCTTTTATGATTTAATCGCCATTTTTGTTTGAATTAACACTCCTATAAAATAAAATTTAAATTTAAAAGCAAATAAAAATGTAAACGGTCATCTAGAGACTTTAAACTTTTATATATTGCTTAAATCAATAATATATCCTACTACCATACATTATGGAACAGCTGAACTAATAACCATTTTTATTCAATAAAATAAAATAAATTTATACACACCTCTTTCTGCTTAGCTTTAAACTCTTTGGGGTTGGTGCCTTTGGGAACGAACTGAAGGGCAGACTCGATTTTAACTGGCGTGCTGGAATGCGTCGGTGATCCATCAGTTACCCACTGAAAAGACAAAACCAGCACATTAGTCAAAGAGAAAATATAAATGCGTTAGTTTTTCATAATATTACTATTATTAACAGAGGTGTGCCTGCCCCCATGTGCAATCTCTAATGTACTGGTTTTGTCGGATGAAAAAACGACAAGTACAACAAATTACGGGCAGACTAAGTTAAAATATATTAGTATTATTATCACAACAAAGGAGATAAAAACTAAGCGCCCTTAAAATGTTAAAAGCATGCACAAGGGGTGAGGATTAATTAATACAAACATAATTATTTTGTATTTTTATTAAGCACAAGCTTTTAAAAATTTATAAATTTAAATTAATTAATAATAAAAGTGATTACATGTACATAATTGCAATAAGACTAGACTACCATTATTTATAATGATAAAAAATATTGCAAATTAATTATAATATAATAAAATTCAGTCCTATATCTATACCAGATTAGGTGAAATGAATTTACAAAGATGTTATTTATTGCCTCAGTTATAAATCTCAATAATGCTTTAATTAAAAATTAGAATGATAAAAATTGCAAAAAACATTAAAAGTATAGCACAATTATAAACCTAATTAAAAACCAAATTAAGTTAGCGCAGTTGTAAAACATTCTAATTAAATTGCATTTTTATTTATGTAGCATACAAATCTGATTTTAATTAAAATTAATTTTTTTTAAAACATAGGGTATTGCACACAGAGCTGAATTTAAATGTTATGTACTCATTAATTCATATACGTAATAGGGTTGGAAAATAATGTAGAAACCAGTGAAATAACTTCTATTTTAGAGATTAGTCCCTAAAAACAACCATACCGTTAAAAAAAACGATTTTTGCTTTTAATTTTTTCTCGCACAGTAGCGTCACGATGTTATAATATAAAATTTAATGCTAGGTATAATAGGCGTGTCAAGATTTTACTTCAATAACCAAATTCTTTCACAGTTATAATATTTTTACTTGTTATAAAAAGACAGCTAAAATATAACTTCATAATTTTATTTTTAAAATTTAAAATTGGCACCTTTAGTATACTGTACCTAATGTACTTTGCCTCGATTTTCAAACAAACAGATGTTGGATTCATTAGTAATTCTTGACACAACTGTCAGCATCGTGACGTTGCGCGCTCTCTTGAAGGTCTTCGAAGCGTTTTAAATCTTGCGTTTTTAAATACGCTGTAGCGTTCTTAAAAATCGTTTGAGAAACGAAGAATAATAGACTATTATGTAACAAGTTTTATAAACGCCATTTTAGTTACAAGTTTTATTGGGCACAAGCTTGCGAGCGAGTGGTTAAAAAAAACGAACACAAAAAAGAATTTAAAGCCAATTTTATTTGTTAAATCTGTCAACTGTCACCCGAATATAACCTATCTTTTTTCTAATTTATAATAAAGCTAACTTCAGCCCGTGACTAAAATGCCATAAAGTCACAGCTCATGAATGTAGGAGTAGATAAATAAATTAATAAACCATGTGCAATAATTAATATGCAATAAAAAATTTCATGTCGCAACCCCATTGTTTAATTACTTTAATAAAAAAATGTTAGGTAATGAATATATTTTTGTTCAATAGCTAATAATAAAAATCTACAAAAACGATTAAATGTATCAAGTATTTACGAAGAGGACTTTTGAGTACTGCTCATGGAATTCTTTTTTGTGCTAAAGGTACTTTTATTGTAATATTATAAAAATTTTAAATTCTTTTAAATATTATTTTGATATATGGGTTTTATAACCCTTTTTTAAAATTAAATTTCTAAAGTTTAAAAAGTATTAATTCAATTTAAAAAGTTGCTGGTTAATCTAATTTGTTAAAGGAAACTTAAGTTAAAAATAAAATAACATCTGTAATTCTTTTAAAATTAAGTTTAAAAGCATTAAAAGATAAAATGTACTTAACTAACTAAAAGGCAAGTAATTACTTTTTATTTATAAATAACGTAATTCCTGACATATTATGTTGCACATTAAAATTGTAAAAACACCTAAACCTTATTTTATAGTATGGCACTAAGCAGAAAATCTTTTATAGGTAAAACTTAACATGCATGCATGGTAATTATCTTTAAATTGAATGTATAGATTGTAAACACATAACTGTAAATAAAATTTATTTAGACTTCATTATGTATATGAGTAAAATGATTAGTAAAAACACTCTTAATTTAACAATTGCACAGTACATTTTGTACCAAAATGGTTCATCTATTATAAAATTAATTCTATTGGGAATGATTAATTAAACTGCGCGCAGTTGCGCAGCTGCGTACAAAAACCGCAACACCATGATTGTTTTTTGAATAAAATTTTATGATACTCTCATATGTTACTGCCATATTCACCAAAAACAATTATTATAAAAGAAATTATGATATTTTAAAATTTGTTTTCCCTATTATTTTAATTCGGAGGCACTCATCAATCGATTTGGGGTTGCGATTTTTTCTCGCATTATATTTAAAATTAGCTACTTTAGAATTAGTTTTTATCCTCAAACTTAATAATCTCTACCTTTGTAATTTTCTTGGGATCCGTTGTTCCAGTCTCGAGTATTTCGACTTTTTGATAGACATTCGGTGAGTTTAACCAGCGGCTTCTATCGTGTCCCTTTCTACCTCCCTCCAACTTTTTCCAAAGTCTAAAACAAAAAGCATGTTGTTAGTTTTATAAACAATTTGTACACAAAATTGATTGCTGGGATTAATTTTTTAATTGTTTATCTATTAGATTGTTTACTTCATTAAATCTACAACGTTGATTTCAAATTGCAATCAGTATCTATATTTAGACACTAGTAAATAAAACGATATTTGTATTAGAAAAATATAATAAAACAATCTAGAATTAAAACTTGTTAACTTATTAGAATAGAAATTTACTAGTTAATTTTTAGCTAAATTTTTTGTTTGAATATTAAATATACAAATTTTGTAATTACATTACTCTTTATTTTGAGTTAAATCACTATTAAAAATAAAAAATACAAGCATTTGTGACAGAAACAGTAACACTATGAAGTTTCACAAGGGTCAGTGCTAGAGCCACTATTGTTTATAATGTACATAAATGACTGAACTGAATGTTAAAGGTGAAACATTTCTATTTGCAGATCATATCAGACTTTTTAATTCTGAAATGCATGTCACAGTCAAAGTATACATTTCAAAATATGTATACAAAAACTAGCTAGTGTAAAGATTTAAGTAAAAAATCAGTAACAGTACACTTTACTAGGAAATTTATACATTTACGACAAGCATCAAGTAAAAGTATAATACAGTAACTAGCTTGTGTATACATCCACGTGAAATGCTAGTAAAAGTATGGAGCAAATGTAAATATCTATATTTTACTATAGTATACTAAATGCGTTCGAATTTTGCGTGTTGGGTTGATTGGAAGGTTGGTTGGATTCGTGGGTTGGGTTTGGTTAGTTTTAGTCTTTGCTACCTTTGTGGCGTCATAACGTCATGACGCGTTATCTACTAGTAAGTAAGTTAATGAGCTTCTTTACATTTACGTATCAAAACCAGTTACGGTATACATTAGCTGGTCAGTGTATATATTTGAGGAATTTACACATTGACTGTAACACATACAATGTTTACGGGTATGCATGTTAGTGTAACCTGAATATAACTACAAATCATTCGAAATTACGTAAACCGCCAAAATTTAATAATGCCTGTACATGTATATGCATATTCTGACGTTGGCGCATAATTTGATTATTTTTATATTTTTTTGATTTTTTATAAGCCATGCATTCCTATTTGTTTACATACAGGGTGTCCGGGAAAAGGAGATCAATCCGTTAACCATATATTCCTTGAGTTAAAACAATAAGACTTTCATAATACCATTTTTCAATTTAGAGCTTCATGTTCGATATACAGGGCGACAAAGTTTAAAATTTAAAACAGATTTTTTTTAATAATTCGAGTAATTAATAAGGTATTAAGTTCAAATTCGGTACACTACTTCAACATAAATAGTTACATCTTTTGAGATCAACAAAACAAAAAACAATTGTCAAATAATCAAAATAGGGGGGGGTCCAGTACTCACTGACCCCCCCTATTTTTTAGTACGGGCGCCAGTGACTTCCAAACGGTATTTTTTCAGGTAAACATTTAGTGTTAAACATTTTTTGTCTATTATAAAATTTTGATAAAATGATTTGTTTTAGAGATAATTTGTAAAGTATTGGTCCTTGATTGATCCCACGCCGCTTATGGCAATCTCATAATTTTCAAATGTAGTACTGGACCACCCTATTTTGATTATTTAACAATTGTTACATCTTTTGAGGACAACAAAACAAAAAACAATTGTCAAATAATCAAAATAGGGTGGTCCAGTACTACATTTGAAAATTATGAGATTGCCAAAAGCCGCATCAATCAAGGACCAATACTTTACAAATTATCTCTAAAACAAATCATTTCATCAAGATTTTATAAGAGACAAAAAATGTTCAAAACTAAATGATTACCTGAAAAAAGTACCATTTGGAAGTCACTGGCGTCCGTACTAAAAATAGGGGAGTCAGTGTGTACTGGACCCCCCCTATTTTGATTATTGGACAATTGTTTTTTGTTTTGTTGATCTCAAAAGATGTAACTATTTATGTTGAAGTAGTGTACCGAATTTGAACTTAATACCTTATTAATTACTCGAATTATTAAAAAAAATCTGTTTTAAATTTCAAACTTTGTCACCCTGTATATCGAACATGAAGCTCTAAATTGAAAAATGGTATTATGAAAGTCTTATTGTTTTAACTCAAGGAATATATGGTTAAAGGATTGACCTCCTTTTTCCGGACACCCTGTATATTCATTTAAGAAATTTATTTGTATTTATTTTTTATTAAAACTGTTTGAGAGAATTCATGTTATGTTTTTATATTTTTAATGATGTAGGTAGGAATAAAAATGTTTAGCCTATTAACACTTCGCTGCTGGCGGCGTCTAAAGACGGCCACCGCTTCTTAAGTGGGATGCGAATGGCGCCTTTTGACGTCCACTAAAATAAGTAATAATATAATATATAATATATAATAGTAATCCTTTAGTTTTCCTTTAGACGTCTTCCGCCTCTGGATAAATTTTTTTAGCAGGTGGCTGACGACGTCTTAAGACGTCCTAGCCCTGAGTTTTTTTTTATAAAATAAATGTGTTTTAAACTTTTCTTGTTTTCAAACTGTTTAATATTTCCCAAACTATTTCAGTTTCTGGGGGTCGATTGCCCATACCAGTCAGCAGCGAAAGTGTTAACAAACTTTCATCGAAAGCCTGATCTTTAAAAAACAAAAATGATAAAAATATGAATTAGTGTGATAGCAAAACTTACCCTTGTCGGTAGAGTTCCTCCTCTTCGAGCAGGTATCCAAGAGAAGAGACTGCTGGTGGTAGCTCCACGTCGTTCTTGGGTTTGGGGGGATCCCCCTTGACCAACGGGTGTCTGTAGATGTAGCCGGTACGGAATCCAGCATTGTCCAGCATGCGCATCATGGCCTCGAATTCGACGCCACCCACGCGCCACTTCCTCTCCACTTTGGCCTCCAAGATGGAGGGTTGATCGGGTCGTGGCGTGCTTTCCGGCGCCTTGTGGGCCGCGTCGTATATCTTCTTTTTCACTTCGTCGTTCAGTAAAACTAGGTTGTCTAGACCGGCAGGTAGCAGTTTGAGCTGGGCCTCGGAGGCCAGGACGGTGTTGCGGGCGTTGAAGAAGGCCTCTTCTATTGTCTCGCCGCAGCACAAGGCTCCCTGGTTAGAGAGAAGCAGCACTTTGTTGTTGGGGCCCAAGTTCCTGGCCAATTTGTCTTTCTCTTCCGCATCGAGCATGCCGCCGAGGTAAGGGTGCGTGCTCACGTCGCCTATGACAACCGATTCCTGGCTAAGAGGCAGTAAACCGTGTTTGAGTGCGGAAATGGCCACAACCGACGGCGTGTGCACGTGGATAATGCACTTGAGGTCTGGACGTGCGGCATGGACGGCCGCGTGCAACGAAAACGCGGCAATGTTAACTGAAAAATTGGTTGTGCCTTGTTCGACAACGTTTCCTTGCATATCGATTTTTATCAAACTTGAGGCAGTGAGTTCGTGGAAGAGCATTCCGTAAGCGTTTACTAAAAATTGTTCATCGTCCTGGTTTAATCTGGCAGTAATCAGGGTGTTGGTTCCTTGCGTCCAGCCGTACAGGTCGATCAGCCTGAATACGGCTGCCAATTTGCATCTCAAAATCTTCTCGCCCTTGGCGTAGCCCATAGCTTCGATACCCCTAATGTCATTGATAGGAACTACACAGCTAGAATTCTTAAAAACATTCCCGGCCTGCTTATTTACGCCGACCATGTCGGAAATTTGCTGTAAAAGGCCGCTTGGTCCGGTGCCATCTTTCATTTGAGTTTCGATTATTCTCTCGAGTTCCTCTCTAAATAATCGGCTGTTCATTATCACTTCCACTCTCTTCCGTCTTTCCATTTCGCGCACGTCCTGATCTATATCCACCGGTCTGATCTTGGCACGCTCCTCCTCGTCCAATCCATCCGATTGGATTCCGTTGGTCTGAGGCGGAACTTCCGCCTGACTAGTGTCCGTCATTGTTTTATTCTACTTTTCCTAAAACAAAAAAACCTATATTAGGACAGAGCAAAAAAAGCATTTTTTTTTTAATAATTACTCTATTACTTTTATTAACATATAACTAACAAAAATGCATCCGAATGAAACACTCTTTAATATGGTTACATTTCTTCCTTCAGAAAGAAATTGTTTAATAAGAACATCGCACGGCATTAAATCAGACGATCTTGGTGGACAATTTTGGACGTTAGTCTAATAAAGAGGGTGTTAGCAGAATAGAGTAATTGCATCAAAAATGAAAATCCCTAAAAACCTTTTTAATGTAATCTAGAGGTAAAAACACATTGGGAAAATATTTTTTTATATTCCAAAAGTTCAACCCGGCCCCAAAATATCAAATTGAAAAAAGGTACTTTTCAAACTATCCGAACTCCCGCCATACTGCATGACGAGAAATCAAGATGTCAACAAATACCTAATAAACACCGGTAAAGTTTATGTTTAACATGGAAAACGCGAAAACAAAAATTGGTTGTAAATATTGTTTTGTGTCTTGTTGTACAAATACAACCTGGAAAACTCCTGGGAAAAGGTTTATCACCGTGCCAAAAGGGAAAATAAGGATAAAGTGGATTAAAATAGCTCGGCGCGATATCAAAACATCGTCACCGCAGTCAACATTTTATTGCTGCGAGGATCATTTTAATGTAAGTAAAATATAATGTCGTTTACTAGGTATATGGTTGGAATAGGTATGTTAAATAATAATAAACTCAAGAAAATAGGGCTGAGCCATAACGGCTCTCAGTGTAGGGTCATAAACTTTGCATTTGGTAATTAAAGGGACAACTTTCCCAGGAGTTTTCCAGGTTGTATTTGTACAACAAGGCACAAAACAATATTTACAACCAATTTTTGTTTTTGCGTTTTCCATGTTAAACATAAACTTTATCGGTGTTTATTATTTGTTGACATCTTGATTTCTGACATTTCTGTAGGTCTATGACGTCATGCAATATGGCGGGAGTTCGCGAACGTTTGAAAAGTACCTTTTTTTCAATTTGATATTTTGGGGCCGGGTTGAACTTTTGGAATATAAAAAAATATTTTCGCAATGTGATTTTACCTCTAGATTACATTAAAAAGGTTTTTAGGGATTTTCATTTTTAATGCAATTACTCTATTGTGTGCGGCTATTTGTTTATTCCTTACAATCGCAATTCTTCAAATTAAAATAATTACAATTCTCCACTAAATGATGTGTTTGATTAAAAATATGTTTAATAATTAATAATAAATGTGCCTCATTTTGAAAGATTGACGTATACAAATTTATAATATATCTTTATTATAATGTTATTGTTCTGTAACCACGGTCTATGGTTAAATATAAGTGTTGTTTTATTACAATTACATTACCAATTCATAATCATGGTAACAATAAAATTACGTAGCCGCCAGGCATTTGCATAAAATCCATAACAATAAGCGCTCAAATATATCACATTGGTTAAACAATTTTTATAGCAAATTTACATAATGCACCAAAATATACAGGGTGGCTCAGATTTTAATAGAGATTTTAGTAGTCGATATAACTTTTTATCTTAATAGTTATTAAAAGTAGAAAATGAGGTTAGATAGATCTGACCCCAGAATCTGACAGTAGTCGAATTTTTTTTCATTGTTTAAACGAGGAAAAAAAACTTTACCCAAATGGTCTAAATTATTTTTATAGCCCAGGCGATTTAGAAGTAAGTATTAACAATAATAAAGTTTAACTTATAGAACGCTTGAAGATAAATATTTTTTTCTTCGTACGTAGAGATTATGGCAACTGTTTTACCTTGCGTTATAAATCTAGAATATAATAGAATTATATTTGGTTTATCTACATAGCAACCGCTATTAGATGTGCTTTATTTCATCTCAAGATGTACAAAGTGTTGCCAAGTTGTAAATTGTAATACACCGCCCTCGGTGGTGTAGTAGTCAGCACTGCGGACTACAAGCCGAGAGGTCGTGGGTTCGAATCCCACCAGGCTGTTTATTTGTGTTTGTCAGTGTGCACTCCTGTAATTAGGCCTGGTGCCTGTTAAAAGCATATTAAAATAATAAAATAAAAAAGAACAAAATAACATGAAAATGAGCTAGTTAAATTGTGCACAATGTTGATTTCATTAACGCCCATTTTAAGTGGTGAATTGCATTAAACCCACATAGCTATAATTACGTTTTAATCGATTTTACTACAAAATAATTTTATTACAGTCATTAGTAACGCACTTTGGAGAAGATCAGATTTAATTAATAAAGCAAGAGAAAGTTACCTCGATAGAAAAGATTAAATTGAGTTTTTCTGCAAAAAGTTCAACACTTTACCGATAAGTCAGGTAATATAAAAGAAAGTTTATCATTATAAACGGTAATATTTGAGATGCCATTTGCCGTCTTATCTTATTTTAAATTTTAAAAAGATGTTTATAATTTTGACCTCGAGACTAAACTAAAATAGGTAATTTAACTTTATGATTCATTTTATATGTATGCACGATTATTGGTGTCAAGATTGTTAATGGGTAATTTGGTTGTATATATACAATAAAAAAAATTGGTGCGGTTAATCTAAAATTCCAATAGCTATTTTCTTTGTAAATAGTTTAACAGTTTAAGATCTGAAAATTTGTATTTTAGGTGATGGAACCCTGAGTTAGAGATGTAAAAAAACGGTTTTTTTTTCAGATGTGAAAAAAACATGAAAAAAAAAACTAGAACAAAAAGGTTTTTTTTTCAAATCCGCTACAATAAAGTATATTCTGTCAATAAATAGCCTCAATCTTAAAAAATGGAGTAATTTTTCAAAATGAAATTTTGAGTAAAATGTATATTAATAATAAAGTGAAATGTAGAATATATTACATTTTTCATTATTGAAAATTTTGACCTAGACTAAAAAATCTGATTTCTTATTATTTGGTAGTTTCCACATAAGAAACCAATGGCAAAGTAAAACTTCTACACTAATAGAAAAAATTAAAGGATAAAAAATTTTTTTTTGCAATTTTTCGGATAGCTGTATCTTAAATGTTAAAAATGGTCGTATTGGAGCCGTAAAAAAAGCAATTTGAAGCTTGAAGTTTCTAGTTTTTAGATTTTTAGATGAAAAACGTGCAAAGCTCAATCCTAACGAATACCGTAATAAAAAAAATCGATTTTTTTTTGCTTTCTTTTTTGGTCCACGGAATGTTCTAACTTAACCACCAATTAATACTACAAAAATTTGCTATTGTTTTTTGAAAAAAAAAAAAATTCATACTCTACATGAATTTGAAAGATCATGAAAAAAAGTGCTTTTGGTAGCTTTTTGAAAAATCAAGCGCTGAATCAAAAATATTATAGATAGTTATTTTTTTAGGACTAAATCAAAACAAGCGCGGCCCTTATTGGTCAATTCGGTGGTGGTGGCGCGTGCAAAGCGCGAGACTATTTACATTTACTAAATGTCATTTAGTGGCTTATTTTAGTCCATGAACTGGACTGGAAACATAAAAAATTAGGCAAATGGGACTTATCTTGAAAAAAACCTAAAATATAAAAAGAACAATTTAAAAAAAAAACAATGAAAACAACCTGAAAAAAACGGACCGTTTTTTTTCAAGTCGCATCTCCACCCTGAATATAATATTATATGCAATAAAAAATTGTAATAGGTAATATTAGTATGCCATCATATTTTATCACGGTTTTCTTCTGTCGATAAAAATTGAAGCCTGCTAAAATATTTCTTCACATAACCATGTTGTGGTATAAATAACTTTGGCTGATAAAAAAAGTCAAAAATGTGTGCTACACAAAATAAATCCTTCTTTTTGTGGCGAGAGATTGAAAGGCTTGTGCAAACATTTAAACGGCTCATAACGGCTCGAAGAAAACCGTGCAAAAAGGGGGGCACGAGTATCATCGTATCGTATAAAACATTAACGTCGGCCATTAGCAGTCGTAAATGGGAGTCATTGACACAAAGAAGCCTCAAGTTGTTGTTGCAAGAGTGGAGAACGAATGGGAAAAAGAAGGTCAAGACGAACATTCGTGTGCGGTTTAACGCAACACATGGTTTTTGGGGCAACTCTATATACGATCGATAGGGCGTCGCGATGCCCGTTTCCCGGGGAACACGAACTTATGTAGGTTGCGATCGCGGCATCCTTTGTTCCCCTATTTGACGTGTATCGATGCAAAAACCCTACATTTTAGATGTTTTTAGACCGAGATTATCACATTGCCTCATGACAGTTTAACTATTTAGTTAAAAATAAACTAGTGTCAATTATAAACTTTTGAGTTATAGTAAATATTATCTTGAGCAAAAACAGGTCGATCTAGATATCGAGGGGGAAGAACAAATACAGTGTTGGACAAATTGTTGTACCCTCTAACCTCCAGCTACCCTTATTAAAATATTTAAAATGACTAATCACTAATTCGCTAGTTAGAGCCAAAAAAGGTGTGACATAAAACAAAGAATTCAATTAAAAAATTATATAAAAAAACCGTTTTATTTGTTTCAATTTACCTCAATAGTCCAGGAAACAAAGATTGTAGAAGGAAAACTTGATGGTAGTCGGGTTTTATTTTTTTTATTTAGAGTCAGGGGTGCTGATAATGTATCAAGAATATTCCCCAAAAATTTATTTCCGCGTCCCCTAATTTCATCCCCCGAACGGGGAGTTTTTTGCTTTTTGGCTCATAACTCGCTAACCGTGCATTTTTTCAAAATTTAACCTCTAATACTTCTGATTATGTACTAAATAAGGGACACGTTAAACCCCATTGCGCACCTATATGATGTGCCCTTTTGCTATGCGCAGTGTAAAAAGTTGAGCGTTGCTTTCAAAATCACTTTTTTGTTTTTTTATTATAGCCCAATTTTAAAAGTAATCGATCCCAAACCTTACGGTAATCAAACATAACCGACTTTTTTCAAAAGTTACTGCTTTTCAAAGTACAGGTGGTTCTTT